TAACTCGTACTATAAACAATTCGCACACATCCTGGCCCCCCACTTAATCAAACTAATCAACCACACATTACAAACTGGAACACTGCCAGAGGAGATGCTAATAGCTCATGTGGCTACCCTACCGAAACCGGGGAAAACCCCCAACAGAAGTCAAAACTTACGGCCAATTTCTCTACTGAACACGGATACCAAACTCATCGCAAAAATCTTCACGGACAGACTCTCCCCCATCATCCCCGAGCTAATTGGCAAGGACCAAGTGGGATTTGTCAGTGGCAGGCAAGGAGCCGATGGCACGCGGAAAGTACAAAACCTCTTACACAGTCTGAAGGAGAAAAGGGCCCCAAGCATCCTCCTATCCCTAGATGCCGAGAAAGCATTCGACAGACTCCACTGGCAGTTCCTACTAGCGGTCCTACAAAAATTTGAATTCCCCCCCCAATTCCTCGCCCTTATCAGAGCACTATACTCCTCCCCTACGGCACGAGTGACAAATGGGGGATTTATCTCCAAACCCTTCAAAATCTCGAACGGCTCCCGTCAAGGATGCCCACTCTCCCCAATACTATATATCCTGGCACTCGAACCCCTGGCCCAAATGATAAGAGATGACTCCGCCATAAGCGGAATGCATATAAAAGGGAAAGAATATAAACTAACGCTGTTCGCGGATGACATTCTGCTATCATTAGAGCACCCACATATATCTCTACTCCAATTCCATAAAATACTGGCCCACTACAGTAGATGCTCTTTCTACAAATTAAACATAGCAAAAACACAGGCCCTGAGCATTAACATCCCAAACCATGACCTGAACGCCCTGAAAACACATTTTAAATATGAATGGAGACAAGACCATATCAAGTTTCTAGGGGTCAACTTCACACCCACACCCGCCACCTTATTTAAAGCAAATTACATAAAACTTTTAGGGGAAATCAAATCCACCACACAAGGATGGAAAGGCAAATATGTATCATGGATGGGACGGATAGCATCGACGAAAATGATACTCCTACCTAAGATACAATACCTCCTTAGAACGCTCCCCCTCCAACTCCCCACAAAGCATCTCCTGGAAATACAAAAACAAATTAACACATATGTCTGGGAAAATACAAAACCCAGGGTAGCGCGCACCACTATGTTCAGACCGCTCTCACAAGGTGGCATGGGCTTACCTGACATAAGAGGATACTACCGCGCAGCACACATAGCCCCACTCCTCTCAGCATTCCACCACAAAGAAGAGATGTCCTGGGCTGAAATTGAAAAAAGATATGCTAACGGACTTTCCCTACCAACTATGGCCTGGATACCGAAACACCAAAGACCAAGCAACAAATCACTACTACCAACAACTCAACTAACTTTAGCGATATGGGATAACTATCGCAAAAAGATGGGCATTCTGATGAAAATATCACCAGCCCTCCCACTGGAAGCTCTGGGCGTCATCATCATGGACTTCAACTACAAGATAATGAACAAACACGGAGTACGAACCCTTTCCCAACTCACGACAAACTCCCACCTCAAACATTTGCCAGACCTCCAACGAGAATTCCACTTACCTGCAACAGCTACCTTCTCCTACAGGCAACTGCAAGCCTGGTTCACTCTACAGACAAAGGAATTGTCGATAACCTTCCCAGAACCACCTCTACTGGAAGTCGAAAAAATATGTCTAGCAACCAAACCAGCCAAGAAACTGATCTCACTGATTTACGCCTCAGAACGCAATCAACTCTCAAAAAAAAAACCATCCTTCAAAACAGCATGGGAGAAAGACATCAAACACCCACTCACTGAAGCCCAATGGCAGAACATTTACAAAGCACACAAACAACTGACACTCTGCATGAACCATGTGGAACTCTCCCGAAAAGTCCTCTACAGGTGGTACCTGGTGCCCACACGCCTCAAGCTCAGCTTCCCCGACACATCAGACATATGCTGGAGATGCCAGGCAGACAAGGGCACCATGATCCACATTTGGTGGCACTGCCCGCAACTCACAACATATTGGCTGGAAGTAAAGGAACTAGCAGCAAGATGCACCAAAACGCACCTACCACTCCTACCGGAAACCTTTCTTCTACTTCTATTCCCGAACAAACTGCGGAAAAGCCACAGATACCTCCTCTACCACATCATCATCTCAGCACTAGCAACCATAAGCAGGAAATGGAAACAAACAACCCCACCGACAATAGAACAATGTATCAAAGCAATTGACGACTCCAAATACTACGAAATAATGGCAAGGAAAGCGAGACCAAAAGCAACATACCACACTACAGCATGGGAAATGTGGGATGAGAATAGGCTACAACCCCGTATATGAACTCGCATCCAACACACCGCACAAAAACACCACTGGAGGACACTCAACCACTTCCTAACAACATGCTTCACGACGGAAGCACTTCCCTCTCTCCGCCACAACCCCAGCAAAAGAACCAGAGGAATCCACAACCCTCCAAGTCACCCTGCCCCCTCCACCCCACCCTCCCCCCCAAGGAACAAATACAACACAGGCACATTAGCTCACGACATCCTTATACACCAACACATACTCTTACGGATAGGCTAAGGACCCAAGCAAAAAGACGAACGACCCCAACAGCAGCAGGGACGAGACACAAGACATCATCAAGCAAGCATACCTTGTTCCCCTATGCTGGAACACTCTAACGAGCACGCACCCTCTGCAACAACATGTTACACATGGTACCTAGCATGAGGCACAAACGAACAGGGGAGCAGCAACAAATCGTAAACCTATGCCCACACACTAAACCTTGCAAACCTGAATCAAACTGCTGACTGTAAAAAGACTATGTGTACAAAGTATTAAACTTGGATATTATATACTGTGTTCCCCCCTTCCCACCCCCAGCTCTCTTCTGTACCCCATCTCCCCAACCCGATAAAATAAAAAAAAATTGTCAAATTAAAAAAAAAAAAATCAAGGTACTGGAACCCAAAACCTCCTTGTACCTTAACTACTACATTAACCTCTAATGGTTATTGATCTTAGAATGACGCTTTATATAGCCAGCATATATCATTAATGGACTTGTGATAATGCTCTGAAAGTTGATTTAACAGTACCGTTTACACACTGCACACACCTACTTTAACCCCTTAAGGACCAAACTTCTGGAATAAAAGGGAATCATGACATGTCACACATGTCATGTGTCCTTAAGGGGTTAAAGGACAACTCTAGGCACCCAGACCACTTCAGCTTAATGAAGTGGTCTAGGTGCCAGGTCCAGCTAGGGTTAACCCATTTTTTTTATAAACGTAGCAGTTTCAGAGTGACAGCCGCTAGAGTTTCTCATTGACAGCCGCTAGAGGCGTTTGTGTGCTTCCTATGAGACTGGCTGAAAATTGACTTTTTTTTTTATTAAAAGGGGAAGGAAAACATCAATGAGAAGTAGTGTTCAGCGCTTGAAGTGGGAAAGGAGTGGAGAGGATACTACCATAGGCTATGCACAGGCTATGATTACGGGGTTCTACGATTCAATCTGAGTATTGAAACGATGCGCTGTTCACAGCTTGCCGGTGGATAGGGGATCTATATACATACATATAGACTTGTATTCTAGATGTAATTGCTTCTAGGTAGTGATCGAGGCATATACCGGCAGCTATATATGAGTGTAGCGAGTAGAGCGGTATACCATGCTCTGGTAGGTAGTGAGGGGTGGAACCACCGTTGGTGGGCCTGATTTAACGTGATAGCAGGTTTGGAACCATGTACTGGTCTTGAGTTAGATCTTGCTGATTCTGTGTCAGGGGGTTAGTGGCGTGAGTGCTGCCCTCCTCGTTAAAAAGGGGGGGGGGAGATGACTGCCTTAGTGCCTGGCTAACCTCTCTGTGAAGGTGTTGCCCCTGACCAAGGGGGTAGCAGGGGGGGGGGATGTTGGCGATACGTGACTGAGTATGTGTGGCTGTATAGAACCGGACTAGGGCCATAGATGGCATTGCGTCATAAATGCCTGGTTATGTTATGGTGGGCCTGATCTCCCTGTTCTGGGTGACCAAGGTCAAAAGATCGTGACTTCGTGTGGGTGGTGTTGCATTAATAAACAAAAGTATACACAAGGAAATTAAAAAATACGGTAAAAATATGTGAGCAAAGTCATAGCAGTAAAACTTTGTAATTCTGCAACTGTGCAGCCTAGAGCTGTTGGTTAAACGAGTCCCTCCAGTGGGTTTGGGTTGGGGCTGAAAGCGACCCTTCCAGTCAGGTGTCCGGCGGGCCGGCGGCTGCAGATCTTTGCACAAATGGTGTCACATTGGATGGGTCCCATCCGTGGGCGTGATTTGAGTCCGATGGGGCCCCCATTGCCTCCTGCATATCCAGAGCTGCGAGGAACGCTGTGGTTAGTTTTCGTGTGGTCCCCTTGTGTGTGACAAGGAGGGATCGTGGGGGTCCCCACCTGTAGGGCACTCCTGCAGCCCGTAGTCGGGTGGTGACAGGGGTCAGGGATTTTCGCCACTGCAAGGTGGCTTTGGATAGGTCCTGGTAAAAGGACAATTGTGAGTCCTCAAATGTGAGCGGGGTCTTGTTCCTTGGTGGGTGGGTGGCAACACTGTGGCTAGTAGCCTTCTCACGTAGTGTGGCAGCTCCTCCTGAGGGACGGCTGCTGGAATGCCCCTTATCTTGACGTGGTTGCGGCGATACCTGTCCTCCTGCGCTGCCACCTGCAGTGATAGAGCCTGATGGGCTGCCTGTAGTTGGGTTATAGTTGTCTGCATGTTGGAGGTGTCTTGGCGGAGCACTTTAACATCTGCTTCAGTTGCCTCCAGTCTGCCTGTGAGTTGTTGCAGGGAGGATTTTAGGATGGGCAGGTCAGCAGTAAGTAGGCCTTGAATGTCCTGTAGCATGGTGTGTAGGATTTGGAGGTCTTGTTTGGTTGCAGGCTCAGTGTTACCAGCTGATGTTGTGGGCTGCTGCTGTGTATCTTCCGCTGGGCTCTGTAGCTGGGATGTTGCAGGGGCAGCTGTGTGGGGAGACCCTGGTGAAGGTGGGTATTCGGCGGCCGCCATCTTGGTTGAGGTGTGCCGCTGGAGCATAGCTCCGATGTCCCTCTGTTCTGGTGCATTACCAGGTGTGGATTTCTGGTTTCTGCGCCCCATAGGCGTGTTGGCAGGTGCCGTTTGTGTCGGCCACAGTTCTGCTGCGTTTCCCTCAGGGTCCCCGCCCCAGAGATACTCGAGGTCGCGGTATGAGGGCTTGAGGTAGGCCCCGGTTTTGCGTTTTACCTTTAGGTGCTTCGGGGAGTACTGGAATGGCATCTGTGGGTTCAGCGGGGTGTCCCCAGATTGTATCTGGTATTTGCAGGGTCGGATGGGGGCTTGTTATTAAGATATCCTTTGGATTGTGTATTTGTTCCCTGGAGCTGGGAGAAATGGCGTCCGGTCCGGTTCAGTGCCAGACTCCGCCCCCCAATAAAAAAGTTTTTATACTTATTTATCGGCTGGTGTGTTGGAGACTACACCTCTATCCAAAATGAATATTTTCTATTACGATTTGAATATTACGTTTTTGAAATACTAGTTAAATGTCTATTTCTAACTATATTCTAATCATTATACTTCTCAAATACACTTAATAATTAATTAAATGTTAAAAACTATCGGTATTTGTTTTTAATCAAAATTAAAAAAAAGGTTAATTTTTAAGTAAAAATGAAACCACTTCTCTATTTCTTAGGGGCATATACTTTGCACATGTTGGCTAATTATCTGCATAATTTTGTCATCATTCTGCTAGAGCTGCCCTGCGGCCTATTTGCAACCTACTTAAAAAGACCTGGAGCATATTATATAGAGCCAACATTGTGTGCATTCATCTACATCACAGTATTACGCTATGTATATTTCTTACTCTTTTTGCCTTGTTTTTTTATGTAAGCTGTTATAAACTCTTATCCTGTGTATCAGAAGATTTGTGTAATCTGTGTATGTTTTATATGGACACAAAAAGATTTAAAGGGGAAGCATTTTACCTTTTACTTTCTAATATATACCACTATGTTTGGTGGATGTTTATAGCACTGTATTTGTGTTCTTGTTGCTGTGTGAGACACGTGTTATTTAGAGAAGCATGTGAACTTTCTATGTTCGGCTAATCATTTACTGAAGTTCCTTATAACATTTCCTGTTGGTAAATGTAACTTACCTGGTTAAACACTTAGGTCTTCCATAGCATTTACCATAAATGGTCGATGGCAAAATGAAGAAAATATACAAATTTACAATTTTATTCACAAAAGAGGTAAAATATATGAATACATATTGTGAGTCTCTTAGGTTTTGATTCGCCCTGAGTGTGGATAACGTTACGTTGTCCCAGATTCCAGATTTACAGTCGCTTCATACCAACTCAGCTGCAAGACACCAGTTCGCCACAAACACTTCACCACTGCATCATTTCTTAGTCTCATCTCCCTGATTTCGTTGGCGATATTTTTCCATAAATGCTGCCTGTTTCTGAAGGAAAATCTCGTGCTGCTTCTTTATGCCATTTGCTCTACATGGAAAGAACATAATTAATAGGCAAAGATAAGAAGCTAGAGATTTATTTTCTGTAACTTAATTTTTTTTTAACGTGATAAAGTAATACATGATAATGTGAGAAATCATTCAGCAATACGCATAAGATAATAAACATACCAAAAACTAGACATGTGAAATTTACTTAGAATGTAAATTCGGCCGAATTTCGGCAATTCGGATGCTTCTAAATGTCCACATTGCCGAATTTCGGAAGTGCCGAAGTGCTTTGAATTTCTGAAAAGTGGCAAAACAGGAAAGGGAGGGAAAATTACAGGAATGATGACAGGAATATAAACCTATCCCTACCCCCTAAGCATACCCCTAACCCTACCAATAACACCAACCCTAACCCTAACTCTAGTAGGGGTAGGATTAGGGGTAGGGGTAGGGTTAGGGAATTGCCGAAGTCCCGAATTGACAAAGTCCCGAAGTGCTGAAGTCACAATTTCCCGAATTTCGGAAGTACCGAACCGAAGACCCGAATTTCGGAAGTGCCGAACCGAATTGCTGAAGTCCCGAATTTTGGAAGTGCCGAACCAAAGTTTTTTCCCATGCACATCCCTACCAAATACATTGTTACATTATATAAAATCCGGTTGATAATGAGATCATGGTTAAAAGGTGTACTCAAAACATCATATCCACTGCAGCAGTCATGGTGGTTATGGTGCCATGAATCCCCAGGCACCATCCCACTATTAAAAGTCAACCCACTTGTTGAAGCGTTTGACGCTATACAGTTGGTGAAGACTTGCCTAACAACCGAATTTCATTTTGAATTTTCACCTCAGTGAATAAACCTGTGAGTGTGAAAATAGGCCTGCCAAGCAGACTAAATTCTCTTTGCATGGCATATCTCCATATCCCCGATTAGATAAAGTAATTCTTCTGATTTACGTCCTCTACTCTACTGAACCAAAGACTATGTGCCATGGGGCAGTCTTCCCCTATAAGGCTGATATGATGGATCTCGATGGTAGTAGAATAGTGAATTATGTTTAGAAGACTTTTTATACATAGAGGCGTTTTGATTAAGATTTTACTGAAGATCTATAATACTCTTATATTCCAAGGCAGGTATATTATTCTTTTATTTAGAAATACTGTCATCTTGTGATGACTTGAGTTTAGTTGTCCCTTGAATAGCAGGTTGCTGAAGAAGTATAGTTCTAATAACAGTGTATAGCAATTAGTATCTGCATTAACACTTACCAACCAATACATTATTATCAGTGTGATTTACATCAAAGACTACATTAAATCCGTATAGAAAAACATTAGGCAAAACCAACTGATCTGGAAAGATTCTTCAACTCCAGTTTTCTCACAACTTGGCTATTTTTGTCTCAGTACTTCCATTCCATATGAAAATTCTGAGTGTAGTAAATAACCCTGAGTCAGTGTGATGATGTTCAGTTTGATCTGTAGTGTCCACATGGGAACTGCTGGTTTGACCAAAGGCATTTCTGACCTAGTTAGTGTTTGTTCAAAGACAGATGCTTCCAGCAGCTCTTTTGAAACAAGATTAATTCATTCAGAGCTCTGAGCCTGTTACAAAAGAACAATGGCAGTGAATCTGCTTCTAACTTCACAACACACACATACACATATATATATATATCGAGAGAGAGAGAGAGAGAGAGAGAGAGAGAAAATCCTTTCTGATATTAAAGATATGTTGCTCTGAAAAATAACTGACAGATTGCAAATAATTGATGTCGCCATTCTAGGGAAAATGTATCCCGTATTCCTGCCGTAAAAGTATACATTTGATTTGGGACAGCATATGAGAATGACATTGTAAATAACTTTATTCAGATACAGTTTCTCACCTTGCCGCCATCTTTGTTTCATTATAGATTTTAAGAAGACGTTTCTGCTGTTCGTCCACAAATTCCTTGTGAACTTTTCTTAATATGCTGTTGAAAGAAAGGAAGGTGCCAGTTATCATAAAACGTATCTTATCGCATTACACTCCGAGTGCATTTATTCAATATAAGTGGCACTGTCATTTTGCAGGCTTTGTTTTTTTAATTAATTTTTTTGTTTTGTTTTTATTATTTTAACTTGAACCCTATATTGTGTACATAAAGAAAACTATGAACTACTTTTTCCTCTGGAGAGTGTGGTCTTTGGCAATCTGTGGCAATAGGTGGAGCTAAATCAAAGTTCCAGTTCAGTTGCTAAGCTAATTTACAAAGTTAATTTAGAGAACAAAAAGATGGCGTCTATATATTGAGATTCGGCACAAGGAAGAAAAGTAGGGAATGACCGATTATCGGTTTTACTGATATAATCGGCCGATATTCGGTATTTTCTGCAATATCGGTATCGGCCAATATAGATACCGATATTGCCGATAATACCTCCTATGACTGCCGGGCTCATTACAAGCCCGGCGGTCCTCGGGGGGCCAGCAGCAAGCGCTGACTTACCTTGCCAGCAGCTCCTCCAGCTCCCCAGTGTAAATCTCGCGAGACCCGCGGCCATCAGAGCATTGCCACGGGTTACCATGGCAACACTCCGCGCAGCACTAAGGGCAGCGAGATTTACACTGGGGAGCTGGAGGAGCTGCTGGCAAGGTAAGTCAGCGCTTGCCCAGTACTTAACAAGCCACCGGACCACCAGGGAATGCCATAGCCCACCTCCCTGGTAAGAAGCAGGGAGGGGGGACTAAAAAAAAAATTAAATATTTTAAAAGAAAATTATAAAAAAAATGCCCCCACCCCCATTTTACACAAATTACATATACACACACACTGCATTACATACACACACACTACACAAACACACACACAAACACACACACAAACACACTGCATTGCCTAAACACACACTACACAAACACACACACACTGCATTACATACACACACTACACAAACACACACACACACTGCATTACATACACACACACTACACAAACACAAACACACACAAACACACACACACACTGCATTACATACATACACACACTACACAAACACACACAAACACACACACTGCATTACACACACACTGCATTACACACACACTACATTACATACACACACACTACACAAACACACACTGCATTACATACACACTACACAAACACACACACACACACACTGCATTACACACACACACACACACACACTGCATTACACACACACCCTACATTACATACACACACTACACAAACACACACACCCTGCATTACATACACACACACACACTACACAAACACACACACACACTGCATTACATACATACACACACTACACAAACACACACACTGCATTACACACACACACTACATTACATACACACACACTACACAAACACACACTGCATTACATACACACTACACAAACACACACACACACACCCTGCATTACATACACACACACTACAAAAACACACACACCCTGCATTACATATACACACACTACACAAACACAAACTGCATTACACACACACACTGCATTATATACACATTACACAAACACACACACTGCATTATATCCACACTCTGCATTCACTATACACACTACACAAACACACACTCTGCATTCACTATACACACTACACAAACACACATTCTGCATTCAGTATACACACTACACAAACACACACTGCATTCAGTATACACACACTACACAAACACACACACACACTGCATTCACTATATATACACACTACACAAAAACTCACTGCATTCACTATACACACTACAAAAACACACTCTGCATTCACTTTATATACACACTACATAAACACTCACTGCATTCACTATACACACTACACAAACACACACAGCTCCCTGTCTAAACACACTTCATCCACTACATGTGGCATGTATATTTTGTGCATTTACCTTTAGGATTAGTTTATTTTTTCAAAATGGTAAATGTACAGAATATCGGCAAGTTATCGGCTATCGGCCTGAAAGTTCACATATTATCGGTATCGGTATCGGCTCTAAAAAAATCAATATCGGTCGATCCCTAAAGAAAAGATAACAAATATAAATAAAGGCCTGTGGCAAGGAGGGAGTATAAGCATTAAGATACAAGGGGCATAAGGAAAGGAAACCTATGATAAAAAAACATGACAGTGCGACTTTAAGTTCAGTTTACTTTATGGAGTGCTGTTTTCTAGAAATATCAGAAATAGAATTTATGAGAAGATGAAGGACAGGCAAAAAAACTCATCTGCGCCAAAACACAGGGCTTCTACCTTCTATCATTTATATATCAAAGTGTTCCAGCAGAAAGCCAACCAATCACAGTGCTCTAATGAGAAATCAAATCACTGGAATGTCTTTAGAACTTATTTTTTCACCTTGAAACGCATTCTCTGTGTAGCCCTCAAGGGCCAAAGATGGATCAATTTATGTTGCGTTGGGTTTTTTATTTTTTAGCAGGTTATTTGCAAATGGTATGCCTTTTTTAAATCATTGCATAGCATATTATGTTTTTTATTTTTTTTTATTTTAAGGTTATAGTTAATTTATCCCCTTCACTATTTTTACGGTAACGGGATAGGCAGGGTAATTTTTTTTGACTAGGAGCTTGGAGCTTCCACAGAGCAATTGGTTAACCTTCACATTGTCGAGTGTTATTGGAAATTATCATTCACTTACAAAAGGCAAGAGTTTATCGAATATACAGTTAAGTCGCCAACAGCAGGTCCATTCATTAGATCAGATGAGTGGAACTGCTGGATACGTTGATCTATCCTTATCCTATTATAAAGCAACAGTAACATTTTAGATGATTCTGATAAAGGTCAGGTGACTAAAACGATACTTTCTCGATTTCCTGATGTTGTAGTACCAACAAACCAACATGATTTACATGTAGCAAAGGCCCCTTCTCCTAGCTTTGATACTATTTTAATAGGCCGTTGTGCTACATAAGAACTGTAAAATAAATAAATATATTTGTTTGATACCCCTCAACTAGCAAGTTATACATTTATCAATCCAAAAGATGGGTAACAGATTAAGCCGTTCCTACATATAAAACAGTGAGCGGCTTGTAATGTTTTCTCTTGTGAGTACTAGTGCTTTCTCCTAGCAGATAAACAAAAGTCGTATTTTGTCTAGCCTTTCACGAGGGCTAGCTAAATATTGTCATAGGTGCATATATTGCATATTTGGGTGCGCTCGTTTCCTCCAAGCAAGCCTCTGATTTGACGCAGTAACAATCCACATTACAGCCAGAGGTTGTATTTGCATTCTGGAAATTCCTCGGAGGAGAATATCAGTTAATATTGTGCTTATAGAATTCTGGGCAATGTGCCAGCCCGATACCTGTATCAAGAGCAATGTGTCTTCAAGTTGAATGTTGATACATTTTATCACATTGTTTAATAATGCTGGGCCAAATGCCAGAACAAAGTATACAAAAAGAAAATGATTTTCTAAGCCGAATATTTAGTCATTTTACTGTTAACCTTTGTAAATAGGGAAAGGCAGGTAGTATAGGCACACTATACATAAAATAATAAATTATATATAAAAACACCTGTTGGATGTTATGGTCATATGATGCTTAGTGAAACACTATTGAACTATCCCAGTTTCGGAAAGGCTTCTCATGGCCAAGATCATATTTTATATCCCTTCTAGCTGCCGTACAACTAGGAGATGGACCGCATTTAAATTTTGCAGGTCGGTTATTATTATTACTGGTATTTATATAGCGCCAGCATATTCCTTAGCGCTTTACAATATTATCAAAGGTTATAAAACATTAAAGGGACACTATAGTCACCAGAACAACTACAGCTTATTGAATGTGTTCTGGTGAGTAGAATTATTATTACCTTCAGGCTTTTTGCTGTAAACACTGTCTTTTCAGAGAAAATGCAGTGTTTACATTACAGCCTAGGGATAACTTCACTGGCCACTCCTCAGATAGCTGTTAGAGATCCTTCCTGGGTCATGGCTGCCTAAAATGCATCCAAACATTCAGTATCTCCTCCCTCTGCATGCAGACCCTGAACTTTCCTCATAGAGGTTCATTGATTCAATTCATCTCTATGAGGAGATGCTGATTGGCCAGGGTTGTATTTGAATTGTGCTGGCTCTGCCTCTGATCTGCCTTTCTGTCAGTCTCAGCCAATCCTATGGGGAAGCATTGTGATTGGATCAGGCCACCACTTCTGATGATGTCAGAGGAAGTTCACAGGCAGAGGCAGCATCTTCAGACTTGAATACAAGTAAAATTTTACTATCTTTAGGGAGGCCAAGGGGGATAGATAGTGGTTTTAACACTATAGGGTCAGGAATCCATGTTTGTGTTCCTGACCCTATAGTGATCCTTTAACTTTCAGTTTAGTGAATAATTCAGTGAAAATTGACGAATTTCAACCACAATGGCAATTTTCACATTTACTAAAGCCAAATCCAGTCGGAATTCGGTTGCCCGAGTGAATATGCTGCAATTATGCAGATACATTTGGAAGGCAGATTAAAATCAGTGCTCTCGAACCAAACCCTAAACAAAGTATTGATTTTAGAAGATACCCAAATAACTGTTTTAAATAAAATTCCAGACCGAATGTATCCGGCAGGATGCGCATTCGCAAATTATCATTCACTTGCTTTTACGCAAATAGATGATAATTTTAAGTACTATTTGCCTTCTAACAGGGCCAATTAAAGAAAAGAAAACAGGGGGGGACATCCTAATTTTGACCACAGGTGGGGGATGTTGAATTTATACTGGGTGGACATAATATACTATATGCCTCTACTCATGGGTGGCAGGTGGGGGCTGTAAATAATTAAACAATGCCAAAAAAAGCTGAAAAATACAAACTGATGTAATGGCTTACATAATATGAGATGGGGCATTTCTAGCGTCTGGCAGCAATGGCACAGAAGCTAGTTTTAGACATTTAGGATATGCAGGCATAAGGAGGTTTTCAATCTTCCTTATAGTAAAATGGGGTCTAATTGGCCCCCATATGTTTTTTATTTATTTAATTTTAACCACCACATAATTAACATTTGCCCCACTGAGGAATTATACTTATTTGCTTAATGGCTGCTAGTGCTACCAACAGGCAAATAGTTTGGATTTTTTTTATATATCTGGGCCCATATTTGAAGAATCTGGGACCATATTTGAAGCATTTGGTTCTTGATTTCAGTTGTCCTGCGTTGTTTGGTCTAGCTGAAATCCTGAAAAAATTCTGGCCCATTCTGTGCCTGAATTGTCAAATCCAGACAATTTCAAATTTAAATCCAAAATATCTGAATTGGAAACACATCTGACGTTCAGTTAACGTGATCTAAAATATGACTTTAAATTCCCGACAATTCTCACGTTAGTAAATAACTCTGTTTTGTGAATAACTGTAAAGGTGTTGTTACCGTACTGGGGTTCTGTGTATGAGCTGATCTGGTATGATCTAATTGAGATGTCACAGTGATTAATTGAATAAATAATGAAGAGCAGCAGGGAAAACTACAGTGGGAGGTTATGTGTTTCGGATTTGTAGAATTCCTAGTGCAGGAAGAATAGACGTAGAGATGGAAGAGGAAGGTGGCACGTGAAGGGGAGTGGGAGTAGAATTTACTGAAGCAACAAGTGAGGAGAAGAATGAAAGGGAAATACCCTGAAATATGGACTAAAATGAAAAAAGCAGTAGGGGCAAAGAAAGGACAGGAGGTGGGAGGTTAAGAGTATACATTATGGGATGATATATGATAATGATCCATGCAGACCATACATGGCGATTGTAAACTGTTGGTACAAATGTCAGGCCAAAATAACCACATTGGAACAATTAATTGGAAATCTCAGCAACAATGCAGAGCCCAATGTCTCCAGTGACCGCTTACAGGGTCAGTATCTGTTACCAATGATTAATAGAGCATGATTGAGATATTACAATTAGCACTGGAATAGAGACTGATGTGTCCAGTATTATTATGCTATACTAATATGTCTAGTGACTAATACTGCAGGACCGGATATATTTCCAGTAACCAAGATGGCAGCATACACGTTTCAGAGCCAACCCTATATCACAGAAATGCATGTTGGGACTGGGTTAGAAGCAGAGGGCTAGGCATATCTGCAGACAAGAGATCCTCATTTTGCACACTGTTTTTTGATATACCCCCAAGTTAAAAAATTCATAATAAAAGGGTTATTCCAGCTACCAGTGATTTGAAGTGGTCAGTTTGAAACACCGCACATCCAGAATTATTTGCAATTGTGTGCTGGGAGCGAGTTGCACCTCTGTTACATGTGACTTAGCCCAGAATTCTGGGCTGCTTCATTTTCTGTGCATATTTTACTTTTTTTTTATCAGCGCACGCTGCTGACCGATGTAAATATCTTCCACCTTGCAGGGAGATAGCCTTCCACACTGTGGGTGCTCCCTTCCAGATCACTCTATCACTTACACAGGTTTTTAAAAAAAATTATTAAAATCCCCCCCTCCTCATACTGCGTACAAGTGCTGTGTGATGTCATGATGGGGCATGGAAGAGCAGCACCAGGAGATTTGTTCAGCGTTGAGTTAAGGTAAGTTTAAACATTTTTATTTTTTTACGGAGGGACCTAATAGTAATAGGGCATTGTCAGTTTAAAAAAAAATAAAAAAGTGTTCGCATAAAGACTGGAATAACTTTAAATGCACTCATGTTTTAAGTGTAGGTATATCTAGTAGAATGATAAAAAAAAACAAAAAATATGGATTTTTTTTTTCCCCATTGGAGTGTTCCTTTAAGTTGAGGAGAGATACGTACCAGGAGCATTGGGAAGTTTCCTATGTAGTCCATAGCAGAAATAGTTATAGAGGATGTAAAACTCAGTGCTCTCCCAGCTCCTCCAGTGTCTGTGTGTGAGATTAGACAGGATGTGGAAGGGATCACTTCCCATCTGCCCACCAGGGCCAATCTTAGGGTGTACAAGCTGTGCAGCCGCACAGGGCGCCATGGCAGCAGGGGCACCGCGTTGTCGACATGGCTCGCACACACAGTGCCCAGCAATGCAGTGTTTCTAAATCTATGGCAAAGTACGCAAGAGGGGGTAGACATAGGCGTGCACAGCCTATTGCATTAGGGTGTGCACCCTAAAGCACAAACACACGCTGCGAGTATATGTATGTATGTATGTGTGTATATATATATATATATATATATATATATTTATACACACACAAACACATACATACACTGCTGTGTGTGTGTGTGTGCTGTGTGAGGGTGCTGTTAGTGTGATGTGTGTGAGGGTGCTGGTAGTGTGCTATGTGGGTTAGGGTGTTTATGTGTGTGTGTTTGTGAGGGTGCTGTTAGAGTACTGTGTGTGAGGGTGCTGTTTGTGTGCTGTGTGTGAAGGTTCTGGTAGTGTGCTATGTGTGTGTGTTTGTTAGGGTTCTGTTAGTGTGCTGTGTGATGGTGCTGTTTGTGGGTGTCGTGTGTTTGTGAGGGTGCTGTTAGTGTGCTGTGTGTGAGGGTACTGTTTGTGTGTGAGTGTGCTGTTTGTGTGCTGTGTGTGTGTTTGTGAGGGTGCTGTGTGTTTGTGAGGGTGCTGTAAGTGTACTGTGTGTGTAAGGGTGCTGTATGTGTGTGCTGTGTGTGAGAGGGTGCTGTGTGTGGGTGCTGTGTGTGTGAGGGTGCTGTATGTGTTTGGGTGCTGTCTGTGTACTGTATGTGTGTGGGTGTGCTGTGTGTGTGTGGGTGTGTTGTGTGTGAGGGTGCTGTATGTGTGTGGATGCTGTCTTTGTGCTGTGTGTGTGAAAGTGCTGTGTGTGTGAGGGTGCTGTGTGTCTGTGGGTGCTGTATGTGTGTGGGTGTGTGTGTGTGGGGTGCTGTGTGTGTGTGTGTGGGTGCTGTGTGTGTGTGCTGTGTGTGTGTGGGTGCTCTATGTGTGGTGCTGTGTGTGTGCTGTGTGTGTGTGTGTGTGCTGTGTGTGTGTGGGTGTGCTGTGTGTGAGGGTGCTGTGTGTGTGAGGGTTCTGCATGTGTGAGAGTGCTGTATGTTTGTGGGTGCTGTCTGTGTGCTATGTGTGTGAGGATGGTGTGTGTGTGTGCTGTGTGTGTGGGTGCTGTATGTGTGTGGGTGTGCTGTGTGTGAGGGTGTGCTGTGTGTGAGGGTGTTGTATGTGTGTGGTTGCTGTGTGTGTGTGGGTGCTGTGTGTGGGGGTGCTGTGTGTGGGTGCTGTGTGTGTGTGGGTGCTGTGGGTGTGGGGTGCTGTGTGTGTGGGTGCTGTATGTGTGTGGGTGTGTTGTGTGTAAGGGTGCTGTGTGTGGGTGTGGGTGCTGTATGTGTGTGGGTGTGCTGTGTGTAAGGGTGCTTTGTGTGTGAGGGTGCTGTATGTGTAAGGGTGCTGTGTGTGTGTGGGTGCTGTCTGTGTGCTGTGGGTGCTGTATGTGAGGGTGCTGTGTGTGTGAGGGTGTTGTGTGTGTGAGGGTGCTGTATATGTGAGGGTGCTGTGTGTGTGTGTGCTGTATGTGGGTGTGGGTGCTGTATGTGGGTGGGTGTGCTGTGTGTAAAGGGTGCTTTGTGTGTGGGGTGCTGTATGTGTAAGGGTGCTGTGTGTGTGTGTGTGGGTGCTGTCTGTGTGCTGGGTGCTGTATGTGAGGGTGCTGTGTGTGTGTGTGTGGTGCTGTATGTGTGTGCTGTATGTGTGTGGGTGTGCTGTGTGTGAGGGTGCTGTGTGTGTGTGAGGGTGCTGTGTGTGGGTGTGGGTGCTGTATGTGGGTGGGTGTGCTGTGTGTAAGGGTGCTTTGTGTGTGAGGGTGCTGTATGTGTAAGGGTGCTGTGTGTGTGTGGGTGCTGTCTGTGTGCTGTGGGTGCTGTATGTGAGGGTGCTGTGTGTGTGAGGGTGTTGTGTGTGTGAGGGTGCTGTATGTGTGAGGGTGCTGTGTGTGTGTGTGCTGTATGTTTGGGTGATTTGTGGTTGTGGAGGTGGGGGCAGATTAGTTAATAAATATCCCCCCTCCCTTCTTACCTTAGGTAGGGGGGACATGCTGCTGCCTTCCTTGGTGGTCCAGTGGAGAGTGAACTCTAGCATGCGGGGCTAGAGTTCATTCTCGCGAGATTTAAGGGTTGCCGCGGCAACGCTCAGATTTCGCGAGAGGAACCCAGTGGAGCTGCTGGCAATAGCTCTCCGGGTCCTCTCCTGCCTCCCTCCCTGCATGTGGGCCAGTGGGGAGGGAGGCTGAGAGCAGAGCCGGCAATCGGATTGCGCCAGCTCTGCATTACACCCCGTGCGTACGCCTATGGGCGTAGAGCCAGTGGTGTATCCTGGTTTTGTGCTGCCCTAGGCAGGACAAAACTCAGGCACCCCCCCACCCAACCCTTCCCCCCGCCCCGCCTTCTAAATACACACATTCACTGACAGATACGCATACACACGCTAACAGACACACACACACTCACTCTAACAGACACACACACTCACTCTAACAGACACACACACTCACTCTAACAGACACACACACACTAACAGACACACACACACTAACAGACACACACACTGACACACACACACACACACTAACAGACACACACATACACACTAACAGACACACACAGTCAGACACACACTAACTCACTAGCAGACACACACTAGCAGACACACTCACACACACACACATTTTTTAGCGACTCTTACCTTTGGGAATGCTGGGGGGGTCTAATCTCCCTGGTGGTCCAGTGGCTGGCGGGGGCGCTGGGCCGGGTGGGCGCTGGTGAGGGAGCTTCTTCTGAGCTGGCTGTTTCCGCCAGCAGAGTGAGGCTGGGAGCCGGAAGATGACGTCATATTCCAGCTCCCAGCCTCACTCTGCGGCGCGCGAGGGAGCTGAGCAGACAGTTCAGAGGAAGATCTCCCTCGGCAGCCGCCCGCCGGACCATCAGCCAGCGTCGCCCGCCCGCTCGGCATGTCTGTTAGCCGCAAGGCTAACAAGGCATTTGCCCTGGGCATTTGGGGGCGGCGTTTTTTGCCGCCCCCTGAAAAATGCCGCCCAAGGCAAATACCTTGTTTGCCTCGCGGCTAAAACGCCCCTGCATAGAGCTAAGTTGGAGGTGAGGTGGAGCTAAGCAGGAGGTGGAGCTAAAGTGTGATGGGGTGTGGCTAAATCTGTCCTGAAACTGCTGCACTTACTGCTGCACAATGAAGGGAAGTAGGAAGGATCCCTGCTTCCCCAACTACTATAGGGCAGGGACTGCACCGCCTCCAGACCTCCTCCTCCAGCCCATAATGGAAAAAGGTAATTGTGTGGTTTGTGTGACTGTCTGTAACTGTGTGTGTGTGTGTGTGTATGTATGTGTGACTGCTTGTAACTCTGTGTGCGTGACTGTCTGTCTGTAACTGATTGTATCTGTGGCTGCCTGCCTGTGACTTTGTATGTGGCTGTGTCTGTAACAGCATGTGTGACCGTCTGACTTTAAATGTATATTTGACAGTCTGACTGTAATTGTGTGTGAGACTGCCTGCCTGTAATGGTGTATGTGGCACTGATCTAGATCTATAGCTCTAATATAAATGCCTGCAACCTAATCTCCCATTTCCCATTGGCCCTAAATTTATCCTTTACTGAAACCAAAACATTCCTTAGTCCCAAATTTAACCACTCGAACCCTAAACTTGAAAAAGACCTTACCCCTAGGTTTAATCCCTCTTAAACACTAAACACCCCATGAACTTCAATATTAAATGTAACCCCACTCTAACCCTAAAACCAATAAATCTAAACACCTCTTATACCATAACTATAACTTCACTCAAGCTTTAAGTTTTCTAAACAGTAAACATCCCATGTCATCTAACTCTGACATTAACCCTTCTCAAACCTTAAACCCCCCTTTAGCATAACCACTTCTAACAATATATTTAACCCTGCATGCATTTTACACAGCTGCATGCACTTGCTATACAGATTCAAACACAATACAAACAGAAATATGCACATACATATTCAGTTGTTAAATTTGAATATAGTTTGTTTTTATGCATAAATTCACAGTTTTGATCTGTCCAGTAAGTGTTTCACAATTATTTGCCTCTAACTGAATTTGCGGTTATCTGTTATTGAGGAAAACTATGATTGAGCATCAGTAAAAATTCATTATGATTTAATAAATGTTCTTTTTTTAATTTTGTGAAAATGTGTTATGAATAAAATGTCAATGGTTAGTGCTGGAGGCTTTCCAAGCACAGATATACTAATCACAACTGCCAGAGATCTGTATTTATTAAACTAATACAGACTAAGGATCACTTTCAACAAACGCAGAACAAATAGTACAAAGAAGAATTTCTTATTTACCTGAAGCCCACATAGTGTGCAATCATGCTTCCGGTCATTAGTAATATACAGAACCAAACCAAGCGGCTGTTTCTTCTCTTCCTCTGGTGAGTAGACGCTCCAGTCCCTTGAGAAAACTGAGTCCAGTAGAATGCATTGTCCTCTGAAGCAGGCCTGAGTTATAGTGTGGGGGTGCAATAAAAGAGAGATAAATACATTTAGGGTAACGGAATGGGTAGAATGAGTGACATGGGACAAATGTTTGTTTCCACATGACAGTTAATAACATGTTTGCGACTTCATTATGGACAAGATTACATTCCTCCCAGTACCCCTATGATGTATAGCGAGACTGAAGGAATTTTCTAATGCCAACAAATCGCAAAGATAAGAGAGAGTGAAATAGACAGGGAGGCTTAGAAAGCACGGGATATGGAGATGGGAGAGAAAGATAAGTGAGGGATAAAAAACAAATAATAATAAAAAAGAAACATTGAGAAGTTAATGGAAAAGCGAAATCGGAGGAATAAACAAAAGGTAGTTAAAAAGACAAAATATGGCACATGACAGAGGAAAAGGTGGATGCGAAGTCATTTGGAGCGTTGCACTGCTACCTGTAAGAAGAGCCTCTGTTTTGGAAGGTAGAATTGTCTCTTCCAGGAACCCAGTGTTCTCTCTTCAGAGCATCTAGAAACTTGTCATACTGCCTACGAGAGCTGTCTCTGCTCAATACTTTGTATGCCTCGTTCAGACGTACAAATTCAGCATGCAGCAGAGGGTTTGAAGGGTTGCTATCTGGGTGCAACTGTAATTAATGTGAAGAAGAGAGTCAGATGGCTCTTAAAGGAGGAAATGGAGCAGCAGATATGACATTTTCTATGTAAAATGGATAAATAAATGTAGGTTGTAGCTGAGTAATGGTGCATTATATAGTGAGTTTAAAGCGAAAGGCTTTACTTTATATATGTCAGTTGGAAAACGTTGAGCTAACTGCAAGTGTGTGTCATAACACCTCATGGTACTCTCCTATGAAACCCCATTCCTTGTGGATCACGTAGCCCATCACATTTCAGCCAGGAAAATTGGAGACAATAAAAAGGCATAGTTGTGAATGTTTTAGTCTTATAAACAATATCACGAGAGTACAGCATTGATGTCTAAGGAGGGTCCTCCATACCTCCATAGACAGACAATCCTCTATAGACAAAGCCAATTCTCTGGGATTGACACTTAGACTCTGCCGTGAGTGTAAGAAAGTCAGTCGGAGGAGAAATAAAGATACACTGTAGTGCCTACTTTGTCTCTGTATAGCTCTTGACTGGGTTGGAATTTCAGTGAAATTTCAGTGCACAGTGCAGCTTTAACATTTTAAAAATCTCACTAGTTTATTTTTACTTTTTTGTAATTCTTTATTTTTGTTGTGCTCAAGATAACATCTAGGCTAACTATGCCACAACAGCATCGTTCAGCCCAGAAAAATAAACATAGCGATATAATGGCATGGCAGACAAAGCCCTAGCACAATTTTATATAAGGTAACATCATGCAATGCAAATACATCTCGGGCTGTGATACACCAGATTGTTAGTAGTTAGGAAACTAAAGGGATTAGCCAGACATGGAGTGAGAAGAACATAATAGTGTACTTGCTTGGGTTGTCTAGGCATATCTGTCCAGTTAGGAATGAATACAGAGTTTATAGGCATATACAGCCTCTCAGGAGGAGAGTGTCAGGGGTTAAAAAAAAAAAAAAAAAGGAAATCCAGAGAGTAGTAGCTGATTTACATGTCAGCAGAGAAGCATTAGGGAATTCCCTGCATAACACTGGAGTGAGATAATGATAATCAATTGTAGAGCCTGTGACTACCATGTAGTAACTACATATTAATGACAGATAACAATTAACATTATACTGGCTGTAGAGCACTCAGGGTTGGGAGGCTGTTGTCCCTCATCATCATGTGAAGGTACGGCTCTTGTATCAGTCCCCCAGGTTGGGTTAGCCGATTCCCTTGGGTGGTAGAGTTGCTTCACCTTCAGGGAAGAGTATGTACTGAAACCAAGTGCCCCTCATGCCCCAATAGTTTGTTTTAAATGAGTTTAATTGCATTTAAACTAGTTTAACCTCAACAGTGCAGTTTGCATGCACACAAACAACACTACTGAAGAACGCCTGAGTAGACAGGCGCTCTTGTGGCATTTCTGTGTAGGTTCCCAAGAGTGACTGCACACAACCAAAGCATCATGGGGCATCAAAGTCACCCTAATATATATATATATAGTTAATACATTGCTAAACATAAGTACACACATCAGTCAAGCCATAAGACTTGCTTTTCCCACAGAAATCTCACTGTAACAGTGCTCTCACTACTGCAAGGGATTCTGGGTAGGCTTATGCAAACGAGCTCAACAAAGAACCACATTTTGGCCTCATAATTCCACTTAGAAACATAGAATGTGACGGCAGATAAGAACCATTCGGCCCATCTAGTCTGCCCAATTTTCTAAATAGTTTCATTAGTCCCTGGCCTTATCTTATAGTTAGGATAGCCTTATGCCTATCCCACGCATGCTTAAAATCCTTTACTGTGTTAACCTCTACCACTTCAGCTGGAAGGCTATTCCATGCATCCACTACCCTCTCAGTAAAGTAATACTTCCTGATATTATTTTTAAACCTTTGTCCTCTAATTTAAGACTATGTCCTCTTGTTGTGGTAGTTTTTCTTCTTTTAAATATAGTCTCCTCCTTTACTGTGTTGATTCCCTTTATATATTTAAATGTTTCTATCATATCCCCCCTGTCTCGTCTTTCTTCCAAGCTATACATGCTAAGATCCTTTAACCTTTCCTGGTAAGTTTTATCCCGCAATCCATGAACCAGTTTAGTAGCCCTTCTCTGAACCCTCTCTAAGGTATCAATATCCTTCTGAAGATACGGTCTCCAGTACTGCGTACAATACTCCAAGTGAGGTCTCACCAGTGTTCTGTACAATGGCATGAGCACTTCCCTTTTTTCTACTGCTAATACCTCCATATATAACCAAGCATTCTGCTAGCATTTCCTGCTGCTCTATTACATTGTCTGCCTACCTTTAAGTCATCAGAAATTATCACCCCTAAATCCCTTTCCTCAGATGTTGAGGTTAGGACTCTATCAAATATTCTGTACTCTGCCTTTGGGTTTTTACGTCCAAGATGCATTATCTTGCACTTATCCACATTAAATGTCAGTTGCCACAACTCTGACCATTTTTCTAGTTTACCTAAATCATTTGCCATTTGGCTCATCCCTCCTGGAACATCAACCCTCTTACATATCTTAGTATCATCAGCAAAAGGACATACCTTACCATCAAGACCTTCTGCAATATCACTAATAAAAATATTAAAGATAATGGGTCTAAGTACAGATCCCTGAGGTACCCCACTGGTGACAAGCCCAAGCTTCGAATATACTCCATTAACTACAACTCTCTGTTGCCTATCACTCAGCCACTGCCTTACCCATTCAACAATATTGGAATCCAAACTTAAAGATTGCAGTTTATTGATAAGCCTTCAATGTGCAACAGTGTCAAAAGCCTTACTGAAATCTAGGTAAGCAATGTCTACTGCACCACCCTGATCTATAATTTTAGTTACCCAATCAAAAAAATCAATAAGATTAGTTTGGCATGATCTGCCTGAAGTAAACCCATGTTGTCTCTGATCTTGTAATCCATGTGTTTTAGATGTTCAACAATCCTATCCTTTAACATGGTTTCCATCACTTTCCCCACTACTGAAGTAAGGCTTACTGGCCTATAGTTGCCCGACTCCTCCCTATTACCTTTCTTGTCAATGGGCACAACATTCACTAGCTTCCAATCTTCTGGGACTACTCCTGTTAACAATGATTGGTTAAATAAATCTGTTAATGGCTTTGCTAGTACACCACTAAGCTCTTTTAACAGCTTTGGGTGTATTCCATCAGGTCCCATTGACTTATTTGTCTTTACTTTTGACAGTTGAAATAGAACCTCTTCCTCTGTAAACTCGCGTGTAATAAATGACTCATTTATCCTTTTTCTTAACTGAGGTCCCTTTCCTTCATTTTCATCTGTAAATACCAAACAAAAATATTAATTGAGGCAGTCAGCTAGACCTTTATCCTCTTCTACATACCTTCCTTCTTTTGTTTTTAATCTAACTAATCCTTGTTTTACTTTTCTTTTCTCATTTATGTATCTAAAAAAAGTTTTGTCCCACTATCCACGTACTTCAGGTGGAAGTGGTTTTCATCCACACTTTTTTCCCCACCACAACTCTCTTGGTGTGTATATATATATATATATATATATATATATATAGGAAAATCCTTGCACTCAAGCTATATTATTGCAGTGTGCCGGGTGCCAAAGCCTGGACTCACATAAATACAATTCCAAAGATAATGCTGCACTCACGGTCTTCATAAAATTCAAAAATGCTTTATTTTCAAATATTTAAAATAGGATCAATGCTTCAGTCCACCCATGGGAATCCTCAGGGTAAAAAAAACAAGTCTGAAAAGTTGATCCTATTTTAAATATTTGAAAATAAAGTATTTTTGGATTTTATGAAGACCGTGAGTGCAGCCTTATCTTTATATATATATATATATATATATATATAAAAAAAAAAAAAAAAACTCCATGTATTCCAGGTCTTTGCCCGGTGATTATCAGCCCAAAATACAAAAAACAAACAAAGGATTCCACTCTCGGGACTTGCATTACAATAAAAGGTCAATGGGTCAACGTTTCAGTATGGTATCAGAGTCCTGATGTAAGTTCAGCAGAAGTAAGTTTGTGTGTTTGTTTGTATTTTTACTTATATTGCTTCATTCACCCTAATAACTGCTGAAATAACATTTAATGACATGATACTAGACTTAGGCTTGGAAGAAATCTTTGTTTTGTACGGATAGATTCTGACTAAATTTGCGTTTGTCCAAAACTAATTTTGTCCATTAACTCATTAGTCTTCGGACAGAGTTTGTTCATTATTTTCATTTTGGATAGCCCATTCGGTTCGTAATTTCATTTGGGTAATGAAATTTCGATCCGGGCCGTGGCTGCATCTTGCAGACATTTAGTAGATAGACCCCTAGATTCAACTAGTATTAGGGAGCTATCTACTAAAAATGAGAAAGTCCACAATTGGTCTTTCAGCCAACTTTACTAATACTAATTAATTAGTAAATAAACCCCTACTCGCTATGCCGCTAGTAGGAGCATGTAAAAACCTCTAGATAATCAGAGCGGCATAAGCCGCTAATAGTAAAAAATAACCCCCACCCCAAGTGACTGGAATCCCCAAGCCCCTACTCACCCCCCAATAAATAAATACCCTACCTACCTTAATTAAACTAAATACCTGTTAAATAAAACATTTATACTTACCATTATATGCCTTTTTTTCCCCTTCAATCATCTTTTTTTCCAGCCAAATAAAAAAAAAAAAAATCCTGTGGAATTAATAAAATAAAAAAGACCCTAACGAAAAAAAAAAGAAAATAAATATGCCGAAAATAAATCCATATTCACCCAGCGAGGCTCCGCGCAGACTGAGCTTTGCAGGGCAGCGAAAAGCTTATAAAGCCTTGCCACGCCCTGTAATTTGACTCACAGCGCTCTGATTGGTTGGCTTAATCCAATCAATCAGAGTGCTTTGACAGGTAAATATTGAACCATAACCTACAAGGCACAAATGGACGAAAATGCTAATTTTCATCCGAAAATACATTAGTCCGAATATGAATACCCAAGTCTACATGATACAATGAGGAACTATCCCTCTTTAAATGCAGCATTTTAAGTTATTTTAAATAGATACAGTCAGATGGAGAAGGATGTAAGTTGGAGAGTTTGTTAATGAAACCTACCTTTTTTGACTGTATGAAGAAAGCATTCTTAATCTCTTTGTCTGTTGCCTTTTTTTCCACACCCAATATTTGGTAATGATCTTGCAAATCTGGACTGGAAAATTAGCAACATGTCATATAATATATACTTAACTAATCCATTGCAGTGTTCTTTAAGTTTAAAAAATAACATTTATTTGAAACATATATTTATATGACCCGGTTCTGCTTAGTATTTTGTAAATATATGTGAACCCTTTGGAATGATATGGATTTATGCACAAATTGGTCATAAAATGTGATCTGATCATCATCTAAGTCACAACAATAGACAATCACAGTCTGCTTAAACTAATAACACACAAAGAATGAAATGTTGCCATGTTTTTATTGAACACACCATGTAAACATTCACAGTGCAGGTGGAAAAAGTATGTGAACCCTTGGATTTAATAACTGGTTGAACCTCCTTTGGCAGCAATAACTTCAACCAAACGTTTCCTGTAGTTGCAGATCAGACGTGCACAACGGTCAGGTGTAATTCTTGACCATTCCTCTTTACAGAACTGTTTCAGTTCAGCAATATTCTTGGGATGTCTGGTGTGAATCGCTTTTTTGGGGTCATGCCCCAGCATCTCAATCTGGTTGAGGTCAGGACTCTGACAGGGCCACTTCAGAAGGCGTATTTTCTTCTGTTTAAGCCATTCTGTTGTTGATTTACTTCTATGCTTTGGGTCATTGTCCTGTTGCAATACCCATCTTCTGTTGAGCTTCAGCTGGTAGACAGATTGCTCTAAGTTCTCCTGCAAAATGTCTTGATAAACTTGGGAATTCATTTTTCCTTCGATTATAGCAATCCGTCCAGGCCCTGACGCAGCAAAGCAGCCCCAAACCATGATGCCCCCACCACCATACTTCACAGTTGGTATGAGGTTTTGATGTTGGTGTGCTGTGTCTTTTTTCCGCCACACATAGTGTTGTGTGTTTCTTCCAAACAACTCAACTTTGGTTTCATCTGTCCACAGAATAGTTTGCCAGTACTGCTGTGGAACATCCAGGTGCTCTTGTGCAAACTGTAAACGTGCAGCAATGTTTTGTTTGGACAGCAGAGGCTTCCTCTGTGGTAACCGCCCATGAAATCCATTCTTGTTTAGTGTTTTACGTATTGTAGATTCGCTAACAGGGATGTTAGCATTTGCCAGTGACTTTTGTAAGTCTTTAGCTGACACTCTAGGATTCTTCTTCACCTCATTGAGCAGTCTGCGCTGTGCTCTTGTAGTCATCTTTACAGGACGGCCACTCCTAGGGAGAGTAGTAGCAGTGCTGAACTTTCTCCATTTATAGACAATTTGTCTTACCGTGGACTGATGAACAGCAAGGCTTTTGGAGATACTTTTATAACCCTTTCCAGCTTTATGCAAGTCAACAATTCTTAATCGTAGGTCTTCTGAGAGCTCTTTTGTGCGAGGCATCATTCACATCAGGCAATGCTTCTTGTGAAAAGCAAACCCAGAACTGGTGTGTGTTTTTTATAGGGCAGGGCAGCTGTAACCAACACCTCCAATCTCATCTCATTGATTGGACTCCAGTTGGCTGACATCTCACTCCAATTAGCTCTTGGAGATGTCATTAGTCTAGGGGTTCACATACTTTTTCCACCTGCACTGTGAATGTTTACATGGTGTGTTCAATAAAAACATGGCAACATTTCATTATTTGTGTGTTATTAGTTTAAGCAGACTGTGATTGTCTATTGTTGTGACTTAGATGATGATCAGATCACATTTTATGACCAATTTGTGCAGAAATTCATATCATGCCATAGGGTTCACATACTTTTTCTTGCAACTGTATATATATATTGTATTTCATCAGTTCAGAAGAGTAAGGTAAAGAGTACAGTATCTTCTAACAACTCTTCAAAAAGTCACATAGTGAAATATTGGTGGAATAAAAGTGACACCAATGGTGTTTCCTCACCGGCTGTACGCTCTGACACAGCACTGAGTCCATGTGGTGCCCAGCAATACTTGTCTCTTGATTAGGCATCGGCACAGCATCATGGTGGCTCATTTATCACTGTGGACAGAAAGAATGCATGAATGTTTGTTGGTCCCCATAATACACTCCTGTTTTAGAATACAGCTGGTGTGTTTGGGACTGCAGATTCCTAAAATTCTTGGAGGCTGGTGTGTTTAGGACCGCAGACTCCCAAAATTCCTGAAGAACGTAAAAAAACATCATGTGCTAAATGTAGCTGGTTGACTAAAACCACACATATGTATTTCAAAGGTAACTGTGTGTATGCACTCATTAAGAATCTATTTCTTTGCACAGCAAGACTCCATGTTTTGATTTTGATCATCTATATCAGGTTCAAGCATCTTTCGGCACTCCAGATGTTGTGGACTACATCTCCCTTCATGCTTTGCCATCATTATGAGAGATGTAATTCAGAACAGCTGGAGTGCTGAAGGATGCCTACCCCTGCTCTGTATTGTCTTTTTAAAATTGTTTTATTCTTTCTTTATTGCTCAATCCACATGATACAGCTTATCATGCAATATGCTACATACATCATGAAGAAAGAGGGTTTTTGAGTTAAAGAGAATATAGCACGTTTACAGCTTTTTAACCCCTTAAGGACACATGACATATGTGACATGTCATGATTCCCTTTTATTCCAGAAGTTTGGTCCTTAAGGGGTTAAAGGCAGAGAATATACAGTAAAAAGCACATATGATATGGCGATAAAGCGGCCTCTATGCGGCTTCAGTTCCTATATGTCTAATTTGAGTTTTTGCAGGTAATTGTTTATTGTAGAACACTGTGGATTATGGTAGTATGTGTTTGTGTTTATGATAGGTTTAATAAAGATTTGTTTGCATAGAATTGGTTTCACAATTACAACAGATACCTGACTTTATTTTTAATCTTTAATTTTGTTGTGCATTGTCACATGGACGAAAATACAAATTTTCATCCGAAAATACATTAGTCCGAATATGAATACCCAAGTCTACATGATACAATGAGGAACTATCCCTCTTTAAATGCAGCATTTTAAGTTATTTTAAATAGATACAGTCAGATGGAGAAGGATGTAAGTTGGAGAGTTTGTTAATGAAACCTACCTTCACATATATAAAACAGGTAGTCAAACAAAAGCAATAGAAAATTATCCATCATAACACCCATATAAAATAAACTGCACATTTTTACATGTCAAAGGGACACTATAGTCACCAGAACAACTATAGCTTATTGTATTTGTTCTGGGGAGTATAATCATTCTCCTCTGCCTTTTTGCTGTAAACACTGTCTTTTCAGGGACAATGCAGTATTCACATTACAGCAGGGACGTATTAGCCGCGAGGCAAACAAGGCACTTGCCTTCGGTGGCATTTTTCAGGGGGCGGCAAAAAACGCCGCCCTCAAATGCCCAGGGCAAATGTCTTGTTAGCCTTGCGGCTAACAGACATCCCGAGCGGGCAGGCGGCTGGCGAGGGAGCTCTTCCTCTGAGCGGTCTGCTCAGCTCCCTCGCGTGCCGCAGAGTGAGGCTGGGAGCCGGTAGATGACGTCATATTCCGGCTCCCAGCCTCACTCTGCGGTGCGCAAGGGAGCTGAGCAGTCAGCTCAGAGGAAGTGCTCCCTCGCCAGTGCCGGCCAGCCCGACCGGCAGCCACTGGACCACCAGGGAGAGAGAGACCCCCCCCAGCACTCCCAAAGGTAAGGAGCCTGGGGGGATTGAAAAAAAAGTTAATGTGAGTGATTGTGTGTGTGTGTGTGTCTGACTGTGTGTGTGTGTGTGTGTGTTTGTGTCTGACTGTGTGTGTGTGTGTATGTGTGTCTGACTGTGTGTGTGTGTGTGTTTGTGACTGTGTGTGTGTTTGTGTGTGTGTTTGTGTCTGTTTGTGTCTGACTGTGTGTGTTTGTGTCTTTGTGACTGTGTGTGTGTGTGTGTGTTTGTGTCTGACTGTGTTTGTGTATGTGTCTGACTATGTGTGTGTTTGTGTCTGACTGTGTGTGTGTTTGTGTCTGACTGTGTTTGTGTCTGTGTATGTGCAGGGACGTATTAGCCGCGAGGCAAACAAGGCATTTGCCTTGGGTGGCATTTTCCAGGGGGCGGCAAAAAACGCCGCCCCCCAAATGCCCAGGGCAAATGCCTAGTTAGCCTTGTGGCTAACTGACATCCCGAGCGGGCGGGCGGCGCTGGCAGGAGGGCGGCTGGCGAGGGAGCACCTCCTCTGAGCTGACTGCTCAGCTCCCTCGCGTGCCGCAGAGTGAGGCTGGGAGCTGAGCAGTCAGATCAGAGGAGGTGCTCCCTCGCCAGCCGCCCGCACAGCAGCCAGAGCCACCCAGCCCGACCGGCAGCCACTGGACCACCAGGGAGAGAGAGACCTCCCCCCCCCCCAGCACTCCCAAAGGTAAGGAGGTTGGGGGGGGGATTTAAATTAAAAAAAAAGTTAATGTGTGTGTGTGTCTGACTGTGTGTGTGTGTGTGTGTTTGTGTCTGACTCTGTGTGTGTCTGACTGTGTGTGTTTGTGTCTGACTGTGTGTGGGTGTGTGTTTGTGTCTGACTGTGTGTGTGTCTGACTGTGTGTGTGTGTCTGACTGTGTTTGTGTGTTTGTGAGTGTGTGTGTTTGTGTGTGACTGTTTGTGTATGTGTGTGTGTGTGTTTGTGTCTGACTGTGTGTGTGTTTGTGTGTGACTGTATGTTTGTGTCTAACTGTGTTTGTGTCTGTGTATGTGTCTGACTGTGTGTGTGTGTGTGTGTGTGTATGTGTCTGACTGTGTGTGTGTGTGTTGGGGTGGGTGGGAGGGGTTGGGTGGGGGGTGTGGCGGGGGTGGTGGCCTGAGGTTTTGTCCTGCCTGGGGACGGCTACACTCAGGATACCCCCACTGTGTATGTGTCTGACTGTGTTTGTGTGTATGTGTCTGACTGTGTGTGTGTGTATGTGTCTGACTGTGTGTGTGTGTGTCTGACTGTGTGTGTGTGTGTGTGTGTGTGTCTGACTGTGTGTGTGTGTGTGTGAGTATTTAGAGGTGGGGTGGGGAAGGGTTGGGTGGGGGTGTGGGGGGGGCACCTGAGTTTTGTCCTGCCTAGGGCAGCACAAAACCAGGATACACCACTGTGTATGTGTCTGACTGTGTTTGTGTGTATGTGTCTGACTGTGTGTATGTGTCTGACTGTGTGTGTTTGTGTCTGACTGTGTGTGTGTGTGTATGTCTGACTGTGTGTGTGTGTGTGAGTATTTAGAAGGTGGGGTGGGGGGGAAGGGTTGGGTGGGGGTGGCGCGGGGGGAGGGGGTGCCTGAGTTTTGTCCTGCCTAGGGCAGCACAAAACCAGGATACACCACTGCATTACAGCCTAGTGATAACTCCACTGGCCATTCTTCAGATGGCTGCTAGAGGTGCTTCCTGGGGCAGTGCTGCACAGTGTACAGCACTGCCATTCAGAGTCTCCACACTCTGCATGCAGACACTGAACTTTCCTCATAGAGATGGATTAATTCAATAGATCTCTATGAGGAGATGTTGATTGGCCAGGGCTGTGTTTGACTTGTGCTGGCTCTGCCCCTGATCTGACTTCTTGACAGTCTTAGCCAATCCTATGGGAAAGCATTGTGAGTGTCTCACAAAATCACTTCTGATGATGTGAGGCATGCAGGCAGGCCAGAGGCAGCAGCTGCAGACTTGACTACAACTAAGATTTTACACTATTTAGGAAAGCAAGGAGGGCCGGGAGGGGCTAGCTGGTGGTTTTAACACTATATGGTTTTCCTGACCCTATAGTGTTCTTTTAAGATTAAGGAAATTGATTATAGCATATAGATCGAAAACATATTAGAAACCTCCACTAAGGTACTCTTTGAGATTTGAAATACAATGAATCATTTGGTTGAGGTGGCCTGCAATTTCAAGCCAACACCCATTCTGGAAACACCAACATAGGGAATATGAAGCCAACTACTGCTATCATAGACCCAGAGCCGGTCCAGAGCTTGCATCTAATGTCAAGGAAGCGGACCATTCATCAGGCCCAGGTAAGTCCCCTTCAATAAATATTTTTGCAACATTTTGCCAACAGGGTCTTCTAATGTGAGCATTATGCAAGGAAGATATTGTTGCTGTTTAAGGATCACTGAACTGGCTCTTATCTTGCAGTACTTGCGGCAACTGGAAGTTAGAATCCAAACAGGAGTAATGGGGGTCTGTGTTTGAAACCTCAATGGATACCTTCTGTGCAAGATTCGCACTAAATTGGGCACAAATCAAATCAAATTTTTCTGGACTGTCTGTAAAAGTTCCCTGAGGTCTGCCACTCCTCTCTTACTCGCCTGTTTGTCAGTTGGCGGACATCTTCAGTGACCTGTGTTGACTAGCTGTAGAGGATTCTTAGACTGCTGTATCACTAGGACTAGCAGGACATCCTCGGCAGAGGGTACAGGCATAACCCCCACTGGTCCAAAGGAGGGGAATGGGGACACAAGAATAGCCTCAAAAACAGTTAACGTATCAGGTGGGAGATCTGCCGCTTCCCACACCAAACAGGTCACTCCGGCCTCAACACTTGGCGGCTGAAGTACCTCATTGGCCCGGAACAGGCAGGTGTCCGACAACAGGATTAGATCTCAGATGGACTCCTAACTCCACTGGCACGCGGACACAGCAGAAATCGCAGGTAGGGCCAAAAATGTAGCTCTAACCTTGCTAGTGGCTGCGGAGCCCTCTATAGCTGCGTCTGCTATTCTGTCGGCTATTCGTGCCACTACCTCCAGAGTGAGTAAATATAATCCACTTCGTCTATGGTAAAATTAGACTGTCCATACGGTGCCTGCAAGTACAGCAACAATTTGATTAATATCTGGTGTTTACTGGATACAGTTAAAATGTTCCTTACTGCTAAGAGAGTAAAACTGGGCTACATTTTGTTCCTGTATTATTTTAGTTTTGCTGTCCTACCCCCACAATATTGTTGGTGAGAGCTTGCTGATATTGTTTTTTCCATTGATTTGCATAAACTCCAAAGTAACAATTATTGACAGGGCAGTCTACAAACAGCAGCATTTGGCATTCAATTCACAATATTATCAGCACAAAACATTCCTCTGCTGATACTCCTGCCTGAATCCCCAAATCATTCCTGTGGATATCCTGGTAATGGCAATAATTCTACCATAATAAATAATTTATAGAGCAGATTGTATTCTGATTGGAACAATAACTGTGTCCCCCTAAACCTTAAACCCTTCCTTCCAGGTGTAACTTGCAATAGAAACTGCTCTCTGATTGGTTCTCACAAACCCGGAATCACTGTGTCACTGTCCCCTAAATCATGCCTTGTTACATTGTATCTGCTCCATCCTATTTGGAGAACTCTCACTGCAGCTTGGCAGTGGTAAAACTTAATCCACACCATGCTTGTGCCAATGCTTTGCCCATCACCCTCCCATGAGTCTGCTAGATAGGAACACCCACTGCTTGTATTTACCCTGAAGGAATGAACCATCAGGCAATTTGGGGGGGAGTAATACTACTTACTGTCTGCCTCTGTCACCTTGGGATCGCTGCGCATGCGCGCTCCGTGACCGTTGTGTAATGCCCAGTGATGTGGCCGGTCCTGGCAGCCAATAGGTGCAGAGTGGGCGGGGCCATACAGTATGGGCTCTATGTAACTGCGCACTGTATGGTGTATGTATCGCTATAGGTTAATGTATGGGCTTCACACTGCCCCCCAGAGGACAGCAATGGAATAGCTCTCCATAGACACTCAGTGATGAGACTGTCATTCAGTAAACTGGCTGCAACAAAGGCCCTGGGTTATTACATGGCTGCTGTCTGTAGGCATTACAAGGCTGGGGTTCAGGACTGGTGAGTATTATATGGAAAATAATATTTGGGGGGTAATAAGGGTATAAATACAGAAACTGTGTACACAGGAAGTGATTATAGTGATTATTCAGAACCCACACACTAATCATAATGTATGAGAATGTTATAATGCTCGATTAGTATAATTTAATACTTATAGAATTATGTATATACTAGATTTTGGAGGAAATATGTATGTGCACACATTTTCTTTCAGTATAATCTTGTGTAAATCAGCATACAGGAAGTGCTTGTAGCACTTGAAAAGGAACCATCACTTGTCTGAAATGTACACAATTTAATAAAGAGTAGAATATAACTTGTAACTTGTGTTAACCATCTTTATGTGATGCTTCTTCTTTTTAAATATATATTAAAGATTTTAGCCATTTATATCATAATTCATGTATGTCCTTGCAGAACTAGGGCTATATACACATATTGCTTTGAAAGAAGAGAAATAGATACATTGGGGCACAGGTCAGTTACTGGGGAAAATATATTTCAACCTGCCTTTAAATATATAATTTATACACTCATGTATATATGTGTGTTCACATACATACATACAGTCATACAGACACACATAAACACAATCATAACAGGCACACATACACACTCTTAAAGACACATAGTCATACAGGCACACATACACACATTCATACTAACGTCTTCATGGAACACATTTAAAAGTTTACTCAAGAACTGTGACCACTTCAGTGACTTGAAGTGGTCATGGTGCCTGGAGTCAGTATTTTTCAGTGTTTCACTTTAAAACGATGCACTTACAAGTTTAACCCCCTTGCTGCTGGAGATGTAACTACAAACACTGCACTAAAACTCTGGCTGGTTAAAGGGACACGCCAGGCAGCCCTTTTTACTCACCTCGTTGCAGTGCCGGGAGCCTCGTGAAGCCGCACTCCCTATTTCGTCAAAATGACGAAATAGGCGGGCGCGAGCAGGGAGCAATCAGACGCTTCCATTCATGCCGCCCTATGAAGTCCTGAGGGCACTTTGCCTGCCCCCTCTCCTCTGCTGACAGGCAGGGGAGAGAAGGCGCGCACACAGTGCCTTCTCTCTCCTGCACACGTCAGACGTATTTAAATACGTCTGACGTGTACATGGCCTTTTTAGGGCCATACATGATAGGAAGTCCCTCTGGTGGCCATCTGAGTGATGGCTACTGGAGGTATTCCTATCAATCAATGTAAACACTGTATTTTCTCTGAAAATATAGTGTTTACATTAGATTGCCTGCAGGGAGCTATAGATCTCACCTGAACAACTACATTAAGCTGTAGTTGTTGTGGTGACTATAGTGTCCCTTTAATGTTAATTCTCTGTAGATTTCCATAAACAGAATCTATTTCAATGGCAGAGAGCAATCAGCCAATGAATGAGTGACAGGATTAGCATCCGGCTTCTGCAGCTCTGCAGGAGCCGGATGTTGTAAACCCTGCTTTAGAGGAGACCTGTCACCGGCCGGTAAGTTAGTGTGACATGACCTGCTTTTCATAAAACCATGGCAATTCTATTAATATACAATGTTTTATCACAACTAACCTGTCTGCCAAGAGCCTTTGTCTTAAGGTTTCTAAAAGTTACATGCCAGCTGCTGTACTTCTAAGAGTTTGGTACCTGATAGGGTTCTCATGTTCTGCTTAAAATGTAATGAATTACAGTCATAACATGTGAATTCAAGCCTGCAAAAAACGTTGCATACACAGTTTCTCAATACTTCTGCACAGGATTAGCTTACCTGTACATTAATACATACACATGCGTTAGCCCCAGCATTTCCCTAAGTGATCCTGTACTCCCTAAATCAGGGATAGGCAATCTTTGGCACTGCAGATGTTGTGGACTGCATCTCCCCATATGCTATGCCAGCATTATGCATTATGGGAGATGTAGTCCATAACATCTCGAGTGCTGATGGTGCTGAGGGAGAAATTATTTTGTCGTTCATAGTGTATCCTCTTACTTAAAGGGAAACCATAGTGCCAGGAAGTCGTGATTTTATAAAAACTTCATTAATTACCTGCTCAGGGTTAAGGGTGATGGGACATTGCACCCAGACCACTTCAGTGAGCTGTTATAATAAAAATAAACCGTGAACTTCGAAAGTATATTGCCTCACAGTGTGAGTAAATATTGGATTTCACACATTGCACTGCTAGTACTTGGAAAAAGTTGTTATAAAAATAAAATAAAATAAAAAAAACCCAAAAACAATCCTAAAAAAAATAAAAAATAAATGAACAAAACTGATTAATTTTTTAAAAGCTAAAGTAATTCTACAAGAAATAATAAAAATGTCACTTACTATTACACCTGTCAATCAATCAACCCATCCTGTTACTTCCTGGTTGTTTAGCTTATTGGAGCTAAACTCAAGAGGCAGTAAATTGCCCAGAGCACCTGCCTTGAAAAGACTTCTCATTGAGTTGCGTTGGGAAGTCTGTGATTGAACAGCCACAGAAAGTACGGGCTTGCAAAGGCAGCAGAAACTAATACATGCAGCTATTACTCAGAATGACTATAACAAAAACAAATGTCATGCATATTTTTTTTTTTGTCCGTATATCTACTAAATTGTTATTTATTTAGCCAGTAATAGCAGGGCTGCCATAAGGGCATGATAACCATGGAGGACATTTCCTATGTGCACATATATATAGCGATTTTAAGCGTTTTTGCTATATATATGTGCACCTGCGCCCTGTGGGTCCCCGGCTCCTCGCAGCACACTCCAGCTTCCCTTCCGTGTGTCTACCATGGCAACGCTCCGCACAGCATCCACTACGCAAACACACACACACACTACATTCCCTATGCAAACTATCTCCACTACACAAACACACACACTGCATTCACTATACACATAACATTCACTAAACACACACTACATCCACTACACACACTATTCACATGCTACATCCCTACACAAACACACACTCTGATTTCACTATACACAAACACACTGCATACCTATGGGTACACTCGGGGGCGGGCCCCGGGTGCCCAGATCTTGCGCTGTGTCAGGGGCCCCAAAATTTCTGATGGCAGCCTTGTGTAATAGTGTTGCTTTAATACTTGAAGTTGCTATATATGGTTGCTGCTTTTTTGTATCTCCCATCAGTAGATAAAGGGACACTATAGTCACTAACCACCTACAGCTTAATGTAGTTGTTCTGGTTTATATAGCCTGTCCCTGAAGGCTCTTTAACCTGATAACGCCATTACAATGTACCATGCCGTCCTGCATAATATAAGCTTAAATGCCGTTAGGGCAGCATGGTACGCTCTAACTAAACTTACCTACCCCCCACCAATCCTGATTGCTCATGGTCTAGGGCAGTGATGGCAAACCTGTGGCACGCGGCCATAGGTTCGCCATCAATGCAGAGTAGGCACCTGCCTGCCCAAAATGCAGGCGCCTACTCTGCTTCCGTGTCGGGAGGACAGGGGGAGGGATCAGAGAAGCAGCTCTCCTGTCCTCCCACGAGCAATCTGTGTGGAGCATTGCCGCGCATTACCATGGCAACGCTTCGCACAGCATCGCGCGGGAGGACAGTGGAGCTGCTCCCTACAGTACTTACCACCACCGGACCACCAGGGATGGCTGTCCCCCTCCTTCATCAAAGGTAAGAAGGAGGGAGGGGGTGATACAGATTTAAAATACCTTTTTTTTTTTTTTACCACCTTTACCACCCCTACCCCCCCACACAAAGCACCACTACCCCCACACAGAGCACCCCTTCCCCCCCAACACACACAGCACCTCTTCCCCAACACACACAGCACCCCTACCCCCCCAACACACAGCACCCCTACCCCCAACACATAGACAGCACCCCTACTCCCACACATCACCCTTGCCCCTGCCCAGCACCCCTACCCGCACACAGCAGAGCACCCCTACCTCCCCACACACACACACACAGCATCCCTCAGACACAGAGTACCCGACACACAGCACCCCACACACAGACACATACACTGCACCCCTCAATGCAGTATGTGTGTGTGTATTCAGCAGTCTGTGTGTGCGTGTATTCAGCAGTCTGTGTGTGTGTATGTATTCAGCAGTCTGTGTGTGTGTATTCAGCAATCTATGTGTGTGTACTCAGCAGTCTGTGTGTGTGTGTACTAAGCAGTCTGTCTTTATGTGTATTCAGCAGACTGTGTGTGTGTATTCAACAGTGTGTGTGTGTGTGTGTGTGTATTCAGCAGTGTGTGTGTATTCAGCAGTCTGTCTGTGTATGTATTCAGCAGACTGTGTGTATGTATTCAGCAGTCTGTATGTATTGCATTTGTTGGAGATACTAATAAATATAAGCTTACTTTTATCTGTTTATATCATTATTTAAAATTTGTATCATTGAACTCTCTGTTGTTGTGTTCTTCTTTTAAAACAAAAGTTGTTAATTAGTTCAGACAAGTGTATGAGTTTTTTTTTTCTAAACTTATACCTCAGTAATCAGGTTTAATTACTGTGTTGGCACTTTGAGGGAAAAAAAGTTGGCATGTATTGCGGTTTGGGCACTCTGGCTCAAAAAGGTTCGCCATCACTGGTCTAGGGGGACTGCATGACAAGCCAGGCAGTGCTCCTGCAAGGACCTCACATCGCCACTAGAAGTGTTTCCTTATTTAGGAATGTGGCTGAATTAATGGTGGTAGCAACAAATAATTGCTGCCTGGGAGTGTAACACCCACTAATCTTGAGACATGTATATCCAATTTCTGCCCTAAAATTAAAACAATCAAGGCCCTAGCCCTAACTCTAATTCCAAAAAATCATGCAATCTAAACTATATATAATGATAAATAATGCCATCCCGAGGTTCTTCCTCAACTAATGTTAAAAAAAAAGAGATAAATTAGAAGGACTCAATTAACAAGAAAAAATGTCAGATACTCACAAAATTGCTGCCTCTGTCCATGTAGAGGAGAACAGTCTCTATACAAAGAAAATAAGAGGTCCAATTACCACAAAATCACATAATCTAGCGTAGTACACAAATCATTGAGGTCCTGAGTACACAAAACCTACCACGTTGTATGAGCAAAGACCTCTGGGTCAGAAACATATTAGGCTTTGGCTTCCACGTGTGGTGCAGTATCTCGTGCCCATGTTGTTCATACTAATAAAGTCGCAATGATTTGTGTACTCTGCTGAAGCATGGTGTTTTTGTGGTGACCGACCTTGGAATCCAGGCCTACCTAGCGGGAGGGAGAGTGTTCACTTTCCCACTGCAATTTATCTATAATGATTTTGAAATATAAAATTTTTTGATTATTCGATATTATAGAGATATAATCCAATTAGTGGGACCAGGCACCATCTAAAAAAAAAAAGCATTGTGTCCTTTAAGGACTATCTAAGAACAAAATCACAACAAATGTGCTATAGTGGTTATGGTACCAGGAGTACTCTGGCACCCCCTCCCACCATGTAAGTTTTAAAAAACATTTGTTCACATCAGAGCTGTTTTAATATTTATTTTACCACACATTGTTGCAGTCACTTTGTGTTTTGTTGTTGCTGGTCACTTGGGAACTTTGTTGATTAGTTCTTATCAATCACAAGGGGCACACTGTGTTTAATAAGGAAAACACACCTCGGTTTCAAATTTGATGGCATTCTTGGTACTTCATCAAAGACAAAGTGTTGACCCAGCACACTGCTCTTTGTATGCCCCAGCCATAGTGTCTACTTTATTTAAAGAAAGGCAAATTCATCTTTTTTCTGTGGATCGAGGCGCAGCTCTGTGAAGCTCGGCGTTAGCAAATTTAAGTGTGGAAATGTAAGGACCCAAATATGGAGCTGCACATGGCTCTCACATTTAATGTCACTTATATTATACCAGGTACCATATCTATCTATCTGTCTATCCATTTATATATCTATCTATAGATAGATAGCAACCATTGCATATACATTATATCCATACCTTTATCTCACAGACAGCCAATACCTTTATTTACTCTCATGCTAGATGGGTCAGGGCAGTGTGCATATGCCCTAATATAAAACACCCAAATTATCAGTCATCCAACTATTCACTCTTACTTGAATAGGATAAGACAGAAGGAGGTGTAATCTTTAGTCTCAAGCTCCGTCATGTGAGCTCTATGCTGTTTCTGTCTACATTTATTGCTGGTGTGGCTGTGACCCATGGGGAGGGCTGAAAGGGTTGCAATTCGTGCCTTGGCCATTAGTATACAGGGGGTTGTGGGCTACAGCTTCAAAGTTCAATGCTTCTACTGATTAAATGCAGGTGGGCTGGCTATCAAATTGTGCTGAAACATGTAATGCTGGCCATTATAGAAAGGTGTCAGACCAGTCAGAGTGATTGGTTTGACCCCTGTCCACCCCCAAAGCGCCTTTAATGGGGACGTGAGTGACACAAATGGACCATAGAGCAATTGAAGAAGGTTGATATACGTATTACTGACATGTTGGCCTGATGTATACTTGTCCAGAGTGGAGAGGTCTCAATGAAAAATTGATTGACAAAAAATAAAAACCAACAGTTTGATATCTTACTCTGTTTAGCTTTTTTCAATTTGTTTTATCACCAAGAAATGACATTTGGCCAAATCTATCTCTCGATTTATATAGATCATAAACAGAGCAAGCTATGTATCTCTGCTAGCCCTGGAGGTAATATGATTCTGTTATCCTTGGTGAGAAAACCAAATAATCTACCTCATTGTTTTGTTCAATCCCTTAGCTGTAACAGTAGGTTGGTTTAGATCACTTGCATTAGTGATGGATTCCATTCCGTTTTTGTTTAGGCACATGGCAAGCCAACTGGATAGCTTTTCTGTTTATGTACTCTGTGTATAATCTATGTGCCTGCACACCTCCTGCAAGTGTATCTTATAACACTAAGACTAATACCTGGGATCAGATTTTGGACAGAGATTTATGTGAGTTTTATTTGAACAGCTGTGGAGCTGTAGTTGGAAACCTAGGCTTTTAACTGGAAGTCCTTTTAATGAGGACCACACCAACCTTTTGTTCTTCTTATGTCATTGTAATCCATTAACGCTTAACCTTTTTTTTTTTTTTTCAAGTTCTCAAATCCAGTAAATATCATTATCTTGGTGAACTATTCTTTAGTTGCAAAATTAGCTTAATTACTCATTCTTTAAGTGTTACATAATTAACATTGAATAATGTTTAATATACATACTGTAATAAAACTTTCACAGAATGAAAGATGACTCTTTTGTATATGGAATTTGTTTTGGCCCTTGAGTCCAGGGCTAAATAAATACTATAGTGTTAGGAATACAAACATATATTTTTAATGCAGTAGGGTTCCCCTACCTATTTAGGGGTCTCTTGCCTGTGAGGGTTTGAAAGGTGAGTTTCATTTACCTTTCTTCTCACATTGGAGCCGCTTCACCTCACTGGCTGACATTATCAAGATTGATTATCTCAGCCAATCCAATGCTCCCCTATAAGCTAGTGCACCGGTTTGAACCAATCAAATATTGCTCTAGAAGCAGCATTTGTTTAAGAACTAGGTCTGACTCTGTTCTCTCAGGGGAAGCACCTCTAATTGCTGTCATTTATGCCACTAGTTGTGCCTTTAGTTGTCCTTTTAACAAGTATTAGTCTAATCATCTAATGTATATAATCAAATACTGTGCTGTGATAAATTTGAACTTCATAATTTATATATTAATATATAGAATAACTTAGTAACAATGATTATTCTTCCTTTTTATCTACAGAGTCAATAATCCACATCGACCCCTGCTTAAATGAAAGTAGAAAACTGTGGCTGATTAGAAACCAAATCAAATATTCGAGGGCAACACAGCACGTCTTCAACAGGATTTAGGTAGGAACAGCAAGCAACGGACTTGCACTGTGCGACCTTCCTTTCTCTGTCGTCAGTTAAGCTCAACGTAAGAAGGAAGACTGACACAGAACTAAGACACACCCGTCTCTGAAATGTACACAAGATGGAACAAAGTGTGACAAATAAAAGTTGGACATTATATTTTCCTCATTAACATGTTTATTTCTGTTTATTTATAGACTGGGTTTGTTCAACATCTGTTGCTAAGCAGACTTAAACATACTGAAAAAGGTGGGCCATTTATTACACCGTGTTACAAATTACTACATATAAAATTTACAAAGCATCTGGTTTATCTTCTAAAACATTCTATAATAATATATACTGCTGGTAAATTACATGATGTGTGAGATTATACCATAAATTATGTTGCCAATTTTCCACAGTGTGTAGTTTTTGAGATATGCAAATGTTTATATTTGGCTAAAAACACGCCTCTAGTGGCTGTCAGGCAGATGGGCACTAGAGCTGCTTCCTCGTTGCATCCTTCAATTTTCAAAGATCTTTGTTTTTGTCATCATTGCCCACAGCATGGTGATGCCAAACCCAGCTAAGGCTTTTTATTGTATTCATTGTTTCTCTATGAGAAGCATTGGATTGGTGTATTGTGGCGATGGCCACGTATGCCCCATAGGTCGGCAGTGTTTTTCTATGCGAAAAATTGAATTGGACCAGAGATTTAACTCCTGACTATATCAGTGCTGGATTACAGGTAGTTTTTTTTTGTTTTGTTTTTTATATTATTAGTTCAGAGCTTTTTTTTACGTGTTCCCTTAAGTGAAAAACCCCCAACCACCCTCCCCCGCCCCCCCCCCCAAAAAAAAGTTGGATTTTGACAGTGCTGCAAAACATATTTTATAAATTGATTTTATAGAAAGTTTTGTTTTTTTACTTTGAAGATATGTTATCTCTTGCCGAAAATCTTTATATTACAGTTTTAATAAGAAGCAAAAATGTTATAGATAGATTGATAAGACACGACAGCCTGTGGATATAAATTATGTCTGCTGTAAAATTAAATATATTGAGTTTACAGCAAACTTACTTAGAGTATAGGTATTCAGCACAATCACTGATAGGTGTATATGAAAGGAGAACTCCATTACCATAACCACTACAGTCTGATGTAATGGTTATGGTGCCATGCATGCTCTGTGATACAGTAGGTTGCCAAAACATTTGAGTACAAACTACATTTTGTAGTTTGACAAGTTACCTACCATCTGCTGCATCGGACCTTTTACACTGTTCTAATACAGTATTATATAGATTTCAGAATTTTAAAGTACTTGTGCTTCAGACTGTTGTGCTTTTTGGTTGTGTGTGAACATTTATTTTATAACAATTCAAGTTATTTTTATCAGTTTATAAAAGTAAACACGGGGGGCGGAGCCAACGGCACAACGAGGCAGTCGCCATTTACAAAAGCTCTATACGGCCAGTGCAAAAATAACAAACAAAAGCACACCCACAGCCCATCGACTAAAACTAACGACAATCACAGATTCCAGGCACCCTGCTGAACACGCAGATGCCTTTTTTCCAACCGTCGGGCACGAAACGCCGCATCAAGGGTCAGGGGGCCTATCGCACACGCGACCAGTACCTCACCAGGGAGCTGACAGCGTGGCTCGGGCAGAGCCCACAACTCATAGAGGCAGACTCCCACACATCGGAAGATATGGGACGGAGGTCCAACAAACCAGCCGCAAGCACTTCCACGCCTAACCGGGACATTAGCAGCATGCTGCAGCACCCTCCACCTGCACAGGCCCGGGCTAACACGGCAGCCTCACCTCAGAGATCTGAAGAAGACTCAGAACACAGCACAGCAGAGGCCAACACAGGCAACACAAATACACAGGCTACTGATGGATTACCCCCAGCGACAAAACAAGACATCCAGACCATGCTGGCGGTACTCCAAGGTAACCTACAGCTAATGTGGCAAGCAGACCTGAAGGGGCTGGCAGCAGAGGTACAAGCGGTATCGGCCCGAACACAGGCCACGGAACAAGAAGTAAAAGACCTGAGCCAAGCCCTAAACTCACTAAAAGACACAGTTGCCAGATGCAAACAGTACAGGCTAAAGTCTCCAGGTAAGTAAATCTCCTAGACGACAGGGGTAGGAGGAAGAATGTCAAGATCAGGGGGGTATCAGAATCGGTGCCATTGGAGGAACTACCCCACTTTATAAGGCGCCTGGTGGCCTCACTCATTCCCAACAGGCAGGCAAAACACGTTACATTTGATGACGTATATCGCATAGCTAAACCCCTAAGGGCACCTAAGTCAGCCCCACGCGACATAATCTTACGATGCCAAACCTTGACAAATAAAATAGCCCTAATAACGGCCATAAAAGGGAAAGCGCCCTATGACTTTGAAACACATCAAATCACATTCTTCCAGGACTTATGAAGAGACACATTATCATGGCGCAAGAGCATGCAGCCTGTGACCACTACCCTGCAAGCAGCGGGCCTAGTATACAGATAGTATACGCTGTGGGTGACCAAAGGCGAACAACACTATAAAATCACCAACGTGGAAGAAGGACCGGCCTTGCTGACCACACTGGGACTCTCCAACAACGCCATAGGGGTGGACACTCTGCACCCAGGACCCGTGACATGAAGCCTGGACTGGCCAAACAACAGACCTCCAGTTATTGTTATATATGTTTTTAATGCTTAAGGTTCATGTTCTACTCACTACACCAAGTTATGTATAACCTGTCTTTATTTAGGCTCTCATCTCTTACACCGGCATGTCATGCATTATCCTGTGCCTTTGAGGCAGTACAGCTGCACCCTGCCCCTCCCTCCCCCCCCCCCTCCCCCCAATGCCTCAGGGTTAAGAGGCATAGCAATCGATGGAGCACATACTAGTCAAAATGGCTAAACCTTTTTAATTCACATAGACCTCCTCCACAATCCTAACGTACCCAACCCTAAGACAGCACAGACACCCATACTCTGAAATATAAGCCACTCACACATAGACAAATCTCAAACTCCTAGCCCTTACTCTAGTATCCAACTTTATACAAACCGCACGGCCAAAAGGAACAGGAGGCTTACCAGCGCAACTCCTGTACCAGCACCATATCACCCTCGGTGCAACCCACTAAATTCACACTAGCTATAATACCTACAGCCACCACTGGCACGGGCGATCACATCGTTATGACTACCTAGCCCTATATAAGAAAAATGTGCACAGATAATCTTAGCTCCAATGGCAGGATGCTTCGATCACTGATATATTTTATGCAATTGCTGATGTGGCATACTCATACAAAGTCTGTATCATTAAACCGGCACTGAAAAATAAAGAATAAAAAAAATAAAAATAAAAGTAAACACTAATTTAAGTGTAGATCCGTTTTATAGTTAAAATCAAAATATATTACAAAAATGTTTTAAACAGATGTGCCTGAAACATTTAACTAGTATTGTACAGTAATAGTCCTTTTACTATACATATTGAAGTACTGGCCCAATGGCTTCCTTGCTGTTGTCTGCCGTGAATAAAATTCATAACACAATTGCTAATATTTTATAATGTCTGATATTTTTCAGTATGACATGAAATAAAACAAATTGTTAAAGGAAACTGATCAGAAATACTCTAATTTGGAGAAACATTCTTCTACTAATAACTTTAATAATAATTATGTTATTATTAGCTACAGACTACTGGTAGATTTTTGTTGTCCCCTGTTTAGATCCATTGATCTATGTGCGTATTGTCTGTTTTTTTACGTACGTCCTATATAACAGGCTCCTCCATTATAATAAATTTAAAGGGCTGAGTGCACCCTGGGGTGTGAGTGACAATGAGAGTGGGAAGGGCAAAAACAGGTCCACCTGGATTCTGGGTAACATTCCTGGGCTCATAGTATTGACGTGAGAGAAAGAGGAGGGGTATGAAGGATTTATAGGTTTGTCACTGTTCACTGAGACATTGTAAAAGTTAAAGAAACAAAACAGGAAACACGACAGAACCAGGTATGTAATCCAGGAAGCCAACGGTACTAGATAATGCAGTAAACCAGTGATAGACTGTGTGTACTGTTCCCTGTATGTAAGTAATAATTGTGATGGTGTGTTCTGTATGTGTTCAATACTTTAGAACTGCCATTTCATCAGTGACAATAGCCATTTGTGCAAGGATGGGTGCTGATCATTGTGTAATATATTGTTATGGAGTGTAACAGAGCTAGGCTGATTGCTGTAGCGTGTGTAGGCATAAGCATTAGATGGTTATGTGATTTAATATGTCTGTCATTACTCATTGTGGCCATTGCTGTAGTATTAAGTGTTTTTGGCACTGACATTGTGATATTACAGTAATATAACTTAGATCTGATTACTGTTTCAGGTGTGTTGTGGGAACCGACCCTTTGTACTGAATGAAAATGTATGTTTTGTCTGGCATGTGAATGTGTTTGCACAGTGTGCCAGAACATGTAACGTTCACGCCGATTGATCTTTTAGGTGTATGGGAATTGGCACTGCATTGTGTGAAATTATAATGGATTGCTTTGGGAAAACACACCTTTATTAAAGTTTCACTTGTGTATTTGCTAGCACTGCAAACCAAAATATTTTTTTGTAAATTATATATGAGCTTTGTAGTCTGCTCTACACTTGTTTCAAGTTGTAACTGTATGGGGATGGGCACTGATTAGCTACAGCTACTGCTTGATAGCCATATCCACAGGAAAGGGCTCCTAAAATGTGTGCCTCTGGCTTCCAATGATTGATAGACTAAGTTCTATGGGTGTAGATCTACCGTGAGTCTTAAACAGACAGTAACGGGTAAACACAAACTAACCTTGCATAAAGCAGCAATTGTGTTATGGAAGTCTTTATTTTCTGAAAAGTGTGTATTTACTGGCAGTCCTAAAAAAAAGAACAAAAACAAGTTTATTCTTATTTATGCATTTTCTAATCACTGATAATCACTATATTGTGACCGGCTGAAATCGTCAGACAGCCACTCAAAATAGAGCTTAAAAATCCTGTTTTTCTTCAATTTATTTTTCTCTCTCTGAAGGTCTCCTGGGACTGGATTATATGATCAGAGATAAGTTAAACTCTGACAGCTCAATAGCAATTATTTCTTTGAAGTCTCTGGGAAATAGCTATTTAACAATATGAATTTATTGCCTGTCATATAATCTACAGCTTATCTTCTTTTACAATATATGGACATATTGACATGATTAACCATTCAGCTTCTGGAACTGAAAGACTGAACATACAAACTCCAAGCACCATGATCATTTTAAAGTACTGAAGTGGTTATGGTGCTTAGAGTAAACTTTTTTTAATTTCCGTATTGCAAAGTGAAAAGTCACACTGCGCAAGGCAGTCTAATCTTAGACTATTACATGGTGTGATCCTACCCTGTGAATCTCAGGGCCTGAATCTCAGTGCAGCTCTTGGACCTGCACATCTCACGTTGATCGTAGTCAAAATAATAGGCTGAAGCAGCTGGGTCTCACTCAACCTAGAATATCACCCAGCATTTTATTTCACGTATGTAAAACCTCTATGAAAAGTGATTTACACTTTCCTTGTTTGATCATCTGTTGTCATTTTTCAGCTCCAAATGGATCCTGAAATTTCGATTCTTTACTGTAGTCCTAGCCCTCAAGGACTCCCACAGCGCCGAGTCCATGTCCAGCTATCTCCTCTCTACCAGAGACGCAAGCTTCCTCCCCCATTAGAGGAAAGGATTCTTTTGGAATGGGAAGAGCGTCAACGCAAACAGCCATGGGTCTTCAATGGAGCAAAGTTCAGGCTTCATTCTGTACAACCAGAAGAAGAAAAAAATAAACAGACTTTAAATGAAGAGAAAAGTAAAGAAATGGATAATAGAGTGAGCGATATATTAGAGGAGAAAAGAAGCAAGGATAATGAAGTGAGATTAAAAGAGGAAGTTGACCATGAAGCACGGGGAGGTCTTACACTCCATCTTGCACTTACATCCTACAGAGATTTCTTGGGCACCAATTGGTCTGGAGAGGCCACAGCTTTGCAGGAGAGAGGTGGTATAGAACATGGGGACACTGAAGCTTACCTGGCCCAACCACTGGGTGTAGGGGCTGCTTTACAATGTCGAGATGGACTCTTTGTTCTGCTGAGGAGAAGCCACAAAGTTGGAGAAGCACCAGGACTTCTTGATGTTCCGGGAGGACATCCTGAACCCAAGGTGGGAGATAGAAACAATAATGTGGAGGGAATGAAGTAGTAATATACTTATTGTTGGAGACACGTATAGAAAGTAAATATCAAAGATAATTAATTGCTTATACTTATGAAGTGTCTCCTTCACTATGATTTTCAGGCTGTAGCCCCTAATATCCCAGAGGAGGAGCTGTCCTTGGATGTTCTCCAGCCAGAGTTGGTCATCAGAGAGCTTTTTTCATCCATCCTTGCAGAAATACGGGATGAGGTATGATGTTCTATGGATCATATGATTATTCACAATTATATCACTGTATTATAACCTAAAAGTGGAGCAGCCCCCATAGAAACCAATTGAATGTCACTGCCAATTGCTCCATGTTTAGAACTTTGCCATATAATTACTATTTATACGCCCCATAGAATTACCGTAATTCAATTCCTCAGTGTGTTCTGTTTTATAACTGTATACTGCTTTATATACTGTGACTGAACAATGCAATGGGCCTACTGCTTTAATACTATGGCTTTGATAAATCAATGGGCAGAGTTCAAGTAACAGCTCTCCAAGAGCTTTCTCCTCAGAAACAGATATCGCATCTATTGTTATTATAAACAGGATATTTATTGTTGTTGTGTATATTCACTGTTTACGGATATTAAGATCTCTGCATGAACGTGGCACTATGGGTAATTATACTGAAGATGGAGATCTTGGCAAATATCAACAAGTCTTACAACAGGGTGTTGCTGATTATTTATTATCTAAGTGTAATACACAATGTGATAGCACGTTTTATGTTGGTGCAAACTTTGTGTTCAGAAAGTTCGGGCAATCTAGACAGCACTTTGCAATTTATTCAGTATAATAAATTGAATCAGTTCTGTATCAGACGGTTGTACAAATATTTTAATCCTGCATTAGGCTTGCTGGCAAAAGCAAAAAAAATGAATAAATCACCGGGTAATCTGCAGAAGTGGCCACATTAGTAAAAAAAACTGAAACTTAGCATTTAGTAATTATAAAAAAACCCAGAGTGAAGATAAGAGCTTCCAAAGCACACACAGAAGAGAAAATAGCCCAGTCAGTAAAAAAAAAAAAAGGGGGAATACAACATTTTTGTTTACGTAAATGAGAAAAGGAAAGTAAAACTAAAAGAAAGTAAGGATTAGTAAGTCTAAAAACAAAAGAAGGAAGGTATGTAGAAGAGGATAAAGGTCTAGCTGACTGCCTCAATTAATATTTTTGTTCAGTATTTACAGATGAAAATCAGTTAGAAAAATGGTTACATGTGCCATCGGGCATACCAGGCATTTGGGCCGTGATGGCCATGGGCTGAGGCCGACAGGGGAGATCAGTGCATCTCCCCTGCCGGCCCATGCAGAGCCAGCGCTATCAGAGCGCCGACAAACTATCTCCCCACCGGCTCACAGGCACTCTAGATAGAGCACAGAGCTCTATCCTGCAGCTCTGCCGGGTTCCTCTCGCAAGGTTGCATCCTTGCCGCGGTTACTATGGCAACGCTCTGATCTGGGGGGAGAGAGAGGACTCGGGGGAGCTCTATCCTGCAGCTCCGCCGGGTTCCTCTCGCAAGGTTGCATCATTGCCGCGGTTACTATGGCAACGCTCTGATCTCGCAAGAGTCATCTCTACCCCAGGAACTACAGGGAAGAGTTCACTCCTCTCCGGACCACCAGGGATATCCTACCAGACCACCAGGGCTGGCAGCAAGGTCCCCCCTCCCAGGCAAAGTTAAGAAGGGAGGGGGGACATAAATATAATAATAATAATACAAAATATATATACTTTTTAAAATACACATACATATTTTTCTATTTTTACCCCCACAGCACTCCAAACACCACACTGCACCCCTCACATGCACACTACACCCCTCACATGCACACACTACACCCCATACATCACACTACACCCCAAACATCAAACTACACCCCTCACACACACACTATGCTCCAAACACCACAGAACACCACATAGCACCCCAAACACACACACACACACACTGCACCTCAAACATACAGTGCACCCCTCACACACAGTGCACCCTTCACACACACACTGCACCCCAAATACACAATGCACCCCTCACACACACTGCACCCCTCACACACACACACTGCATCCCTCACACACACTGCACGCCTCACACACCCTGCACCCCTCACACACCCTGCACCCTTCCCACACACAGTGAAACCTTCACACATACACAGTGCACCCCACACAAACGCACTCTTCACACACACACACACACTGCACCCTTCACACACAGGCAGTGTGCACCCTTCACACACACACGCAGTGCACACCCTGCACCCTTCACACACACAGTGCACCCTTCACACACCCAGTGCACCCCTACACACATTACATTCTATGCACACACACACTACATCCCTTTTACACACACACACACACTAGATCCCTTATACACACCCTAGATCCCATACATAACTATGGACCTCTACACACATACACACTAGAATCACTATACACACTCTGAATCCTCTGCACACACACACTAAATCTCCTATGCACACTCTGGGTTCTCCACACACAGTAGATCCCCTACAGGCACACAATGCACCACCTACACACACTACATTAATGACGTACACACTCTTGATCCCCTATGAACACACTAGATCCCCTGTAACCAAACACACACTACTTTCTCTAAACACACACACTTTACAAGCCCTACACACACTACATCATCTATACACACATACACTACAGCCCCTATGCACACACTCACTACAGCCCCTAGCCATACTTATTACACCACAAACACAACACAACTGAAACCGACATTTACACAAAACACCACACCACAATAAACTAACCTTACACATACTCAATCCCACAAGCAGGCTCTAAACATATGTACAATATGCTTTCCTTTGGTATCCCACTTCTGGAGACACCGGAGACATGTCACAAGCAAACACAGCGCAAGCATGTTAATAAATTTGCTTGCGCTGCATAGAACAAATACTGGGCTCTGCGTATTAAACCAACACGCTCACTTTGAGAAGGGGTGTGCTTGTGACAAAACACCCCCCCTCTCTGGCCCGCTCCCTTCTCAGTGGGCCGCTGTGATTCAAAAATGTCCGGCCCTGCATGTAACCATGTAAATTGTTACATGTGGAAGAGGTTCTATTTCAGATTCTAATTCACAAGAAAGGTAGTAGGGAGGAGTCGGGCAACAATAGGCCAGTAAGCCTTCTGTAGTGGGGACAGTGATGGAAATCATGTTAAAGGATAGGATTGTTAAACATCTAAAATCACATGGATTTCAAGATCAGAGACAGCATGGGTTTACTTCAGCGAGATCATGCCAAACTAATCTTATTGATTTTTTGATTAAATAACTAAAATAATAGATCAGGGTGGTGCAGTAGACATTTCTTACCTAGATTTCAGTAAGGCTTTTAACACTGTCACAGATAGAAGGCTTATCAATAAATGGCAATCTTTGAGTTTGGATTCCAATATTGTTGAATGGGTTAGACAGTGGTTGTGTCAATGGAGTATTTTTTAAAGCAACCTGTAGGGTACCTCAAGGATCTGTACTTGGACCCATTCTCTTTTATATTTTTATTAGTGATATTGCAGAAGGTCTTGATAGTAAGGTATGTCTTTTTGCTGATGGTACAAGGATTTGCCAGATTGATGTTCCAGGATGGATAAGCCAAATGGCAAATGATTTAGGTAAACTTTAAAAATGGTCAGAGCTGTGGCAACTGACATTTAATGTGGATATGTGCAAGATAATGCATCTTGTGCGTACAAACCCAAGGGCAGAGTATAGAATATTTGATACAGAATTAACCTCAACATTTGAGGAAAGGGATTTAGGGGTAACTATTTCAGATGACTTAAAGGTAGGCAGACAATGTAATAGAGCAGCAGGAAATGCTAGCAGAATGATTGTTTGTATAGAGAGAGGTATTAGCAGTAGAAAGAGGGAAGTGCTCATGCCATTGTACAGAACACTGGTGAGACCTCCCTTGGAGAATTGTATGCAGTACTGGAGACCGGCATAGGGAGCTATAGTGCCAGCAATACAGTTTTGTATTCCTGGCACTATAGTATACCTTTTATCCTGGAGTGGTCCAGAGTGTTGAGACTACAAAGTTCCGAGATTTCCAACTGCTTGATGTGTTTGCTAGACGGGTGCCTGCACTGTGTGCAATCTACCTAGCAGTACTGAGGCGCTGCTGAAGAGATATGGGATATATAGCTACCTGTTCTTTCAGTGTCTCAGGTGGAACATTAGCCCTCTCTGTAACTTTGCTCACATGCACTGTACGTGGCCTTAGAATGGATGATGCAAAGAGCAAAGAGAGGAAACACTGTAATAATCTCTCAGACACCTTCACTATTCAGCCAGAGATGAAATCCCTCCAAAGGGGATCATATTGTGTTAAGAAATAAATTGTGTGTGTATATATATATATATACCATAATTGTGAGGGTAAAGGTTAGACTTTGAGACAAATTGACAAGTGAGATATGGATATGGAGAAGGAGGGTTCTTTATTCTATATCAGTTTTATTGCTCAACTAATTTCTGGGTCTGGCAGTGTTTGGTGCATCTCATTGTGTTTCAAAGACAGACACAGAACCAGAAAGGCAACACAGAATACAAGACTGAGACAGACAAAGAGAAACAGATTTAAACTAGAATAGAAAAAGAAAGACTGAGACACAGAGGTGTGACAGGGAAAAGAATGAGGGACAGAACCAAACAAGCTAAAATGAAAAACAAATACTAAGAAACCGACCCATAGAAAGACATACAGTGTGGAGTTGACAAGGCTGTTTGTTATTATTTAAATATGTACATTTTGTTTTTACTTGTGCGTTTGGTCTGCCCATTTAGACTTTTTTTTGTCAGATTTGACCCTCTGTATTAAAATGTTTCATACTCCAGCACTGGACAAAAAAAGTTATAAACTTTTGAAATATAATGTTTGATTATTTTTAGAAAATTAAGGGATACAACAGATACAATCAGATCTCCGGGTAGTAAATGTGGAGCCATAAACAATCTAGAGAAGCAAGGCAAGCTATACACTAAAATTGAATCATACCATGTAATCTTGCTAGGAATAGTGCAAGACGAATAAGGACCAAGACAAAGTACGAAATTGGATGGAATTTTCATACAGTGACTTTCTCAACTTGAGAAATGTATAGTAGTGATACACAATGTGACCACTAGATGTCAGTATTGCATGAAACTAACTGTTCCTAGAGGTTTTTTTTTTTTTACTATCAACAAAATAAGTCTAGCTACATTTAATTTAATTAATCCCTACAAATTTTGGTTTTATTTTTCTTTTCAGGTTAATCTGCCATTGTCAACCCTCAGTGATCCACTCCTTTTGGGCATTGCCCGCAATCATACTAGTGCTGGCAGACCAAGTGCTGAATTTTATGTCAGGTAACAATTGCATGTGTGTATTACTATATCTATATCACTATATTAAAATCTTGCTGCCACTAAGCTTGTGTACTTTTGTGATCAGGTGCAGTCTAAGCTCAGAAGAAGTGCGGGAAAGGTACTTGGAGGGAGGACCCGAGGCTCAGGAATCTACTGATATAATATTTATTGATAGAGAGGTAAGAACATCTCTTTTCATATAAGAATTATTCATTATGTAAGTAGGCTTTTATTGCTGAAGTGCCAAAAAGCATACACAGTCTGGGATCTGCACCTTACAAGATTAAACTGGGTAGGGTACTGGAATTCGTATGAATGATAAAGGTCCACATTGGTCCACCAGATTTCAAATAATGTGGTTTATCAATGTTCTATCCTTAACTGACTTAAAAACACTAGACTTTGGTAAAAATAATGAGGATTTAGTTACAGTATATGATTGTACAATGCCGCAATGCCAGTGTACCCCGATGTTAGCTTCTAAGTTATAGCACTTAATATCTGCACCTATAAGAGTAACCCACTTTCCTGGGACATCTATCCACCTTGGGCTCATTGCAGTTCAAGGTTTAAATAGGACATGGAAACCAAGAGTTTGTGGTCAATGCTTCCATAGTATATATAGAACAGAAATGCTGCACTTGGACCCAAAACTGTATAGTCCATGGTTGTTTTTTGGCTATTGGTCCTTAACACAGTGAGAGTAAGAGAGAGAGAGAGTGTGTGTTTATACATTTGTGAATGAAATGCCTCGCAATTTGATTAAATCCTAAGTTTATAAAAATAGCCTACATACATAAGATATGCATATTTTATTTTTAGTTAAATCTCTATTTTAATATGTGCCAATTTCTATATAATGTACAGAACATCTCTTTAAATGTAATCACTTACTATCATTGGAAGAACGTCAGCATAATATCTAAATAAACTGACGTTTTCTTGAACCCAGATACTATCTATCTATTTTACTGACAGCCACTATCTCATCAAAATTAAAACTTGCCTTAGATAAGTGTAAAGGACAAAGTCAAGCTAATAACTAGAAAATCTTAATGCATTCTGTAAGAAAATAAACATATATAAATATTTGGGGTCTGGGACAGAGGTCGGAAAATAGAGCAAAGTCCATTGTGGTGTGCCAAAACCGACGTTCGGGTAAGCCTGTAAAAAAAAGTGGGCCCACCAAGGTAGTGACTGAGAATAGGGAGCATTGGGTGGAATGAATCAAACAGCAACGGTAAGATGAGGGGACAAGCTGAGTTTAAATAGCCGGGTAAGCTGTCCCACAACTCCGGCCACAGCCTTAACATTTGTGGTTAAGGACAAAGGACAAGAAATAGTGCAAAAGTCAGTTGTGGTGTGCCAAAACTGACGTTTGGGTAAGCCTGTAAATAAAGAGGGGTAAAGATTTCCAAGATGCACACTTTATTAAATTTTACAAATTAGCCAAATTCTTGAATGCTTGTCTCAGCTCTTTATTGGGTTAAGGTATATATCTATTATATGCAGCGAATTTCCAGTTTCCTAATGTTTTAATTATATGTACTGGAATATTCATCATAGAAGAAGCCGATGCTGCACTGCTTCTAAATTAATGTCCTGTTAATGTGGAAGGGTTGAAACCAAGTCTTATAAAGAGAGTCCTCATGTAAAAAATGATGAGTGATAATGTGAGTGGTTTATCATGCAGATTCAAAAGCGGTATTTTCCTTGAACAACCTGTGAGTGTGCAGCAGTATTGAGCAAGTACTTTTACTGCGCACAATTTCGGTAGGATATAGGGGAATTTCTACCAAATGGCCCATTTGATTTGTTTTAGTACGCCTTAGCCTGAGTACATAATGAACCCCTTTTTTATTAAGATCTTCGATTTTTAGACACAGAGATGATTTGGATAACGTTTCTATTGTAAATTATTTTAAGTGTAAGAAACTGTAAAAAGTGTCTGCCTTAATTATCTTATTGGTGTGAGTTTCAAACAGGTGATTGTCTAATATATCTGAAAGTGCTCCAAATTTAGGCCCGTTAATAGGTTATCATTTGGGAGTTTGGGGGCAGTCTACTCATTGTATGCCTTTGAGAATGTTTTATGGGATAAGAAGGTATGTTATTCGTGTTTTATCATTGGTTCTTCTAAAGATAGAATGATTTCTATATATCTAATTTACATTATAAACCTAATATGAGTCTAACCAATTTCAAGTATCAAGAACAATGTTAAGAAGTAGTGGTGAGAGAGGGTTTCCATATTAGACACCTCTGCCCATAATTTGGGGGAGAATTATAGGCCATAGGTGTTCATCCTTGTGGAAAGCTCATTGTGCAGAGCCAACAATAGTTTTTGAATGGAATATCAAAGAGATGGTATGTTAGAATTCTCATCAAAGGAGGACAGTCCCACTTTTAAAATTAGTATTTAATATTACTTAAACTCACTATATATATATATGTCATTCTTTTTTCTCTGCAATGTAGAAAGGAGGGTAAAATTACAGCATTTAATAGTACGGGCCAATTAGTTTAGCAAATCAAACCATTTTCTTTTCTGCTTAAAATTCTAATTATTCTCAGTCCTCATTTAATTGTCAGGAAAGCCCTGTGATATCATAGCTGCAGCATCTACTATATTTTAATTAAAGTAGCTTTTCTGAGAATTACACTAGACAGTTTCAGAACATGACCTTTTGTTCTAGAACATGCAGAGTATATTCTGTTAAGTAAACTAATATATTTAGATCATTTGAGTATTGTAGTTATCTTGCAGGCTGCTCAAGGCAATCCACTGAGCATCTCTCTCTTGCTCCTAGGCATGAAATTAAAATATTGTAATTTAAAAATATATATTTTATTCAACTGTCAAGTTTGTTTATTCTACATTTGTGCACTAAGCAGTCAAATGGATTTCGGGAGAAAAGCACTATAGAAGAATATATTTTTATTATTATTATTCCCCATTTTGACTATAATCAGCAGGACCGCAATCAGCTAAGTGCCAATGATTGCATACATGCAGCCACAAGCAACATCCACAGACTATAATTTCATGTGGATTATTGTCACCTTACGTACAATAATTGCTTTTATGGCAGCTTTTCACAACTCCTGCCTTGAAGGAAAGTTAAAAGAATAAGTTTTTAATGGATTTTGTGATTGCAAACCTGACAAATCCCATTTTTGTGATGCTGTAGTAGATTGTAAATGTGCCAATTTAGTTTACTCAGTGTACCTAACGTAACCCGTCAATAACCAATAAGTGTTTAAAGCCCCCCACAAATCAAAACTACTGCTAAAATGTATGAGAACAGCTGTGCACATATCTTCTCCCCCAAATGATTGCACATATGATGTATTATGGGATACCATGTATGGTATGTTGCGGGTGGGTGACTGCACATGTTGCTGCTTCTATCTGCCATCTTGGAGGAGGCAGGCGTGATCTCAAGTTTAGTATTTTTTTTAATCAATATGTTTGCTAGCGATTTTGCCAGCACATCATTTGTGTGTATGAACTATAAGCTATCATACACATGATTTACTAATAACAGAGTCAGTACTAATAACAGAGTCAGTTCATCAATGAGTGCTTCGGTGACTATAAACATTGATTTATAAATGACTTAACCCTTTAAGGATTGGACTGTTTTTGCGATGTTGTACATTTGCGACCAGGCATATTTTTACACTTTTGTGGTGTTTGTGTTTGGCTGGAATTTTCCGCTCTCTCATTTACTGTTCCCATACAAATTATATATTGTTTTTTTCAGGACAAAAGGGGCTTTCTTTACATACCATTATTTATATAATCTCATGTATTTTAAAGAAAAATCTTTTACTCATCTACAAAAGCGAATGAAAAAAACTGCTACATAGATTCAAAATTTTGTCCTGAGTTTAAAAATACCCCGTGTTTACGTGCTTTTTTGCTTTTTTTTGCATGTTATAGGGCTATAGGTACAAGTAGGATATTGCGGTTTCAAAACATACATTTTTAAAATTTATCAATAGTGACATTGTAACACTATTATCTGTCATAAATCTCTGAATAACACCCCACATGTACATATTTTTTTTAAAGTAGACAACCCAGGGTATTCAATATGGGGTATGTCCAGTCTTTTTTAGTAGCCACTTAGTCGAAAACACTGGCCAAAGTAAGCATTCATATTTGTTTGTGTGTGAAAAAAGTAAAAAAACTAAATTGAACGCTAATTTTGGCCAGTGTTTGTGACCAAGTGGTTACTAAAAAAGACTGGACATACCCCATTTGCAATACCTTGGGTTGTCTTCTTTTGCAAATGGTATGCCATCATGGGGTAATTCTCATTCCTGGGCTACCATACGCTCTCAAAGGCAACGTAACCAACCTGGCCATTTTCAATGTAAAAATATTTGACCCATATATTTGACCTTGTAACTTTCAAAAATGTTATAAAACCTGTACATGGGGGGTACTGTTTTACTCGGGAGACATCGCTGAACACAAATATTAGTGTTTAAAAACTGGAAAACGTATCACAACAATTATATCATCAGTAAAAGTGCTGTTTGTGTGTGAAAAATGCAAAAAAAGTAACTTTCACTGACAATATCATCGCTGTGATATGTTTTACTGTTTTGAATCACTAATATTTGTGTTCAGCGAAGTCTCCCGAGTAAAACAGTACCCCCCATGTACAGGTTTTAGGGTGTCGTAGAACGTTACAGGGTAAAATACAGTGCTAGCAAATTCAATTCTCTGGAATTTCGGCCTGGGTTGGCAGGCAGGTCCCTCAAATTGCAATCAATAAAATTACTGAATTATGTAAAAATATTACATAAATACGCACGTAGAATTTAAATATATATGCATATTTATATATTTGAAGTCTACGTGTATATTTATATAATTATTTATGTAATTTTGTATATGGACATATGTATATTTCTTATTATTTTTATTTATTTTTATATACATAGATATATATACAAATTCATTCTAAGTGTATTTTGATATAAATATATATATATTAATTTTAAAAATACAGTTAGAATAAAATTTCTTATAGATATATAAAAAAAATTAAAATTTTTATTATTATTTAAAAAAAATTATTTAATTTAAATTACTTATTATTTATATTTTATAATAATATATATATATACAATATATATAGTTATTATATATATTATATATATATACGTGTGTAATTTAATTATAAGTGTATTTTTATATTAATATAAGTACATATTAATATAAAAATACACTTAGTATGGCATTATATATATATGATATATAGACATATATAGACATATATTATATCAATATAATATATCATATATACACATATATAATTATTATTTTTTTATTAACATTAACTTTATTTTTTTAAATGATTTTACACATGCAGGGAGACTGCCTGTCAGCACAGACAGTCCCCCTGCAGGCAGACACTAGGACACCCATTGTGACCATGTGATCGCTGTGTTGAGCGATCACATGGCCCCAGGGGTCCTAATTCAGTATGGGGAGACTGTCTGGGCTGCAGGCAGTCTCCCCACAACCGGAGCCACGCTGATCGCCGCCGGGGGAACGACGGCGATCAGGTAAGAAACGGAGACCGTTAGGACGGTTCAGGACCGTCATCGGTCGGCAACGCAAAAATGCCGATGACGGTCCTGAACCGTCCTCGGTCGCGAAGGGGTTAAAAAAGAAAAAAATGATGTAACTGTCTCTGTATGTGTCTTTCTAGGAAATGCTGAATCTTGAACAGTCTACCATGTGGAGAGAGCTCTGTCCGTCAGCGAAGGGTTGCGTGAAACTGTACCTCTTAGTTCGAGAACAACAATCCTGATTCTTTTCTCCTATGTTTCAGTATGAGGGTTACGGTTCCAAGGTGTGAAAAGAGTAGTGTTTTGCATGCAATAAACTATGGACTTCTGTCTCGGAAAATAATTTGCACAATTACATTGTAGCTTTCTGCATGTTAATATTTTTATATTAAAGAAAAACATTTTTTCATTAAATGGTTTTGATTGCTATGCATCCTGTATTTATTTTTCCCAGTGTTTTTTTTTCTTTTGTTTGTGGCTATGTTTTCTGTCTGTCTGTGTGTGTACGGGTTGACTTTCATTCTGAAATATCACTGATAGCATAACATGAACTCGACAGAATACAATTTTGGGAATAGCTTCTCTATCATGCCATAGATGTTCTTTCTCTGTAATCATATGTAGAGTAAAGGGTAGAAAAAATAAATTCTAGGGCTGTCTCACTAAATCCTCATCATGGCATCACTTGTTTTTGTCCCCATCTTTCATGAGCTGAACTTAAAGATCTAAGACTTTTTCTATGTACACAAAAGGCCTATTTCTCTCAAATATTGTTCACAAATCTGTCTAAATCTATGTTAGTGAGCACTTCTCCTTTGCCAAAATAATCTCACAGATGTGACATATCAAGATGCTGATTAGACAGCATGATTATTGCACAGGTGTGCCTTAGGCTGGCCACAGTAAAAAGGCCACTCTAAAATGTGCAGTTTTACTCTAATGGGAGGTTCCTGGGGGGGGTCCGAAACCAGTCAGTATCTGGTGTGACCACCATTTGCCTCACGCAGTGCAACACATCTCCTTCGCATAGAGTTGATCAGGTTGTTGATTGTGGCCTATGGAATGTTGGTCCACTCCTGTTGAATGGCTGTGCGAAGTTGCTGGATATTGGCAGGACCTGGAACACGCGGTCGTATACGCCGATCCGGAGCATCCCAAACATGCTTGATGGGTGACATGTCCGGTGAGTATGCTGGCCTTGAAAGAACTGGGATGTTTTCAGCTTCCAGGAATAGTGTACAGATCCTTGCAACATGGGGCCATGCATTAGCATGCTGCAACATAAGGTGATAGTCGTGGATGAATGGCACAACAATGGGCTTCAGGATCTCATCACGGTATCTCTGTGCATTCAAAATGCCATTGTTAACATGCACCTCTGTTCGTTGTCTATAACATACGCCTGCCCATACCATAACCCCACCGCCACCATGGGCCACTCCATCCACATTGCTGACATCAGCAAACCGCTTACACACACCACGCCATACACGCTGGATGCCATCTGCCCTGTACAGTGAAAAACAGGATTCATCCGTGAAGAGAACACCTCCAAAGTGCCAGACACCATCGAATGTGAGCATTTTCCCACTAAAGTCGGTTACGACGAACTGCAGTCAGGTCGAGACCCTGATGAGGACGATTTCTGACAGTTTGTGCAGAAATTCTTTGGTTATGCAAACCGATTGTTGCAGCAGCTGTCCAGGTGGCTGGTTTCAAACGATCTTCGAGGTGAAGATGCTGGATGTAGAGGTTCTGGGCTGGTGTGGTTAAACCTGGTCTGCGGTTGTGAGGCTGGTTGGATGTACTGCCAAATTCTCTGAAACGCCTTTGGAGACGGCTTATGGTAGAGAAATGAACATTCAATTCATGGGCAACAGCTCTGGTGGACATTTCTGCAGTCAGCATGCCATTGCACGCTCCCTCAAAACTTGTGGCATTGTGCTGTGTGATAAAACTGCACATTTTAGAGTGGCCTTTTATTGTGGCCAGCCTAAGGCACACCTGTGCAATAATCCATGCTATCTAATCAGCATCTTGATATGTCACACCTGTGAGGTGGATGGATTATCTCGGCAAAGGAGTAGTGCTTACTAACACAGATTTAGACAGATTTGTGAACAATATTTGAGAGAAATAGGCCTTTTGTGTACATAGAAAAAGTCTTAGAAAAATGGGGGCAAAAACAAAAGTGTTGCATTTATAATTTTGTTAAGTATATATTTAACTTAAAGGGTTACTCCAACCCTTTTTTTTCCTTCTTTTTTTTCTTAAGTGCAAATGCCCTATGGCGTTATTCTTTAGGCCCCCACCACCATAAATGCTAAAAAAAATAATAAACTTAGCTAAAACTGACCTGAAACCCAGTTTTGGGCAAAGCTCCTGGCACTGCTCGGCATTCCCCTTATCTAATGTCACAAGATCTGCTTAAAGACTTCTTAAAGACTGTTTAACTGGCTCAGCACCTGTGCATGCTCTGCAAGGAGAGGAGAGAAGGGATATAAAAGGGGAGACAAGCTCTTTTCAAGGGAGAAGCTCAGCGCATCTCACAGTAATAACAACCTGCTCATAGAAGTGCATTATTATTATTATATTTTTTATTTTATAGCGCCAGCAAGTTCCGTAGTGCTGTACAATGTTACAAGGATGTAGAAAAATCAAGTCTTTAACTTATAACTAAATCTTCTTCATTCTTAGAGCACCTTCTTAATAGAATGCTATCAGAATTATTTTAAATAGAAAATAATCTTGAAGATTTTACAAAGGTTAAGGGCTGTCTGGATGGGTCCATTACACTGACCTGCATAGAATCCTGCAAAGACGGCAAATTTCTCAGTTGAAATGAGAAATAATCCTGATTGAACATTGAACCATTTGTGCAGGTGGAAATGCAAAGTAGAATGCGGCTCTGGATATACTATGGCATTATAACAAAATAATTTAGGAAATGTGCTAAAAGTGGAGCAGTCACCAAACATCACTCACAGGTGCACACAGCAACACACCAAACAGGCGAGGGGGATAAATGAAGTCACCTTAGAAATAAGTGAAAGCTCTACTTAATAGGAGTTACTTGTAGGCGAATGAGCAGAGACGTACAGAGGAAAACACAAGAAATAGGTATGTGTCCTGTGTCCTTATGAAAAGGATTTCCCACAAGGCTGAGGGGTGCTAGATAGGAGAGAGGCGGCACAATTGCTTGGTAGGATTACCTGTCAGCCCACTCTTATGCTAGCAGGGTGGCCCATGGAACTTATAGTCTGCACCCCCAGAAGGTGCAGCCCAAATGTATTGCTCTGCTATAAGGAGCAATACAAGTGGTCTGTACCTGCCAAAGTTGCAGACCATATAATGCATTCACTGGAACACCAGGGATTAGTATTTCTCCAACCTGGCACAAGGTAGCAAGAGGAGTGGAGGAATAAGCTTAACGTTTTATTTGTTTATTTTTAATATGTTGCCAGTCTGTATTAGTGATTACTTACTTTTGTATGCTATTTCAGGGCAGGGGCAAAGCTTGCATTCTCAGATAAGTGCAGAGGAAGGTCCCTTGTTGACAAGCCAGAGCAGAAGAAGGGTTCTTCTTGTCTGGACAGAATACAAGTCACATTATTGGCCCAATTTCCACTTACACACATGCACTGCAGCCCCTATCCACCCAAAGCCCCCAAAACACCCTACAGCCCCTGTCCCCCCAAACGCACACTAAAGCTTCTAGTCACCCAAACATAAACTACAGACTCTATCCTCCTAAACACAACACATTCCACCAACTACACCAACACATTCCCATTCACACATAGCCTCCCCCACACATACTTGCAACCACACAACCAGCATCTCCCCCCACACACAACCCTACAAGCTGCCTCCCTCAATATACACATCCCCAAAAACAAGAACCACCACGAGCAGCCACCCCCACACTTGCAATCCTACAAGCAGTGTCCCCACAAACATACAACACCACATGCAATCTCCCCCATGCACCCAATGTCAAAAAGCAGTCTCCAAACATACAAACATCCACCCTCTTCCAGCCCTGTCCAACTTACCCTTCAACCACCCACCTAGTTACACTCACCATCAAGTCATACATTAATGATTAACCAGTTGCTTTCACGTATCCAATCAAATAACCCAAGATCACATACCCCAACCTAGTCTCATTGACCCATCTAATTACATACACCAAACTTTTTGCACATATAAATAAAGGGGCAAAATGGGTGGGAATGTATTGAGGAACCTGGTTATGGGGCAGCAAGGAGGGTATCCGATCAACATCAACATCTTACAGAGGATTATTAAAGACCTGGATGGTATTTGCTTTTTTTGTTATGGACCTTGTTTTTTTTTTAAGTTGATAGCCCTGCTGGTCAGTTATTGACTTTGAAACCATTATTTGTTTATGTAACTCTCTCCTGTTATGACCCTTAAACCTTTTAGTGACTCTATTTTTGGCTAATTATCTAATGGCCCGCCACTCCTTGTTCATCAGTTACTGATTACCTTAGAAACTCATGGCCAACCTCCTAATGCATTCCCTACATGTTGTGTTTATATCTATACAGTGCTAACTGGGGTATTTAGCACTTTAAATATCTCATTATGGTTGAAGAGTAGTACAGTATGTGCATTAATTATACGCTCTTTTTCTAATTCATTTTGAGCCAACAGGTGTATTTCCTGCAGTGGCTGCAGATCCACAGGCAAGGAGCAGCAACAGTGAGCTCTATCCAGAACAGGAAGAGGCTCCGACAATCAGGACCTTTCATTCTTTTCCTTCTTTGCAGGCTTATAAAAAGGGACGTGCTAATGCAGGCAGCAATGTTCACAACCAACTGCAGCCATAAACAAGTGTCTGTTAGGTGACAAGGACAAGGGAGTTCTTTGCACTATAACCAATACAGAAAGCAATGGAGTAACTGCTGCAGTCGCATGGGTCGCAGCTGTGACCATGCTCGTTACTCCAGGGGTCTTGGCCGCCCTATCAACCCCTGCAACCAGTGGGCTGGCATAACTTCAGGGCCAGTACACAGCCGGGTTACTGGCAGGAAGGGAGCACAAAGCACAGCTGAGAGGATTGCAAGTCTGACAGGAAGTGCTCCCTGTGAACACTTCCTGTCAGAAGCAGAAGATTCTCCACCCGCGGCCCACTCGGCCACGAAGGTCAGCAGGTACAGGGGAGAAGGATAGAATGGGGAATGAGACACATAGGGGGGTATGAGACACATGAAGAGACTGGGGAATGGGGTTGAGACACGTGGAGGGACTGGGGAATGGAGATTAGTCACATGGAGGAGAGAGCTTGAGAGAGAATCAGACACATGGAGGAGCTGGGGGAGAATAATTAGACACATGGTGCAGCTGAGGGGGAGAGTAAGACGCATTGAGGGGCTGGGGATGAGACACATGGAGTAGCTAGCGGAGAGAATGAGATACACGGAGGGGCTAGGGGACTGAGACACAATGAGGGGCTGGGGGGGAATGAGACACATGGAGGATCTGGGGGGAATGAGACACATGGAGAGGCCGTGGGGATGAGATACATGAAAAGGCTGAGGGGTATAAGAGTCATGGAGAAGCTGGAGGGGAATGAGACACATGGAGGAACAGAGGGGAGAATTAGACACATGGAGGAGCCTGGGGGAATGAGACCAATAGAGGGGCTGTGGGGGGCATGAGACAGATGGAGGAGCTGGGGGGAATGAGACACATGGAGGGGTTTGGGGGGAATGAGACACATGGAGGGGCTGGGGGATGAGATACATAGAAGGGCTGAGGGAGATGAGAGTCATGGAGGAGCTGGAGGAGAATGAGACACACGGAGAAGCTTGGGGGAATGAGACACAAAGAGGGGCTGGGGGAATGAGACACATGGAGGCGCCAGGGGGAATGAGACAGATAGAGGGGTTGGGGAGGAATGAGATGCATGGAGGGGCTGGGGGGAATGAGACACATGGAGGATCTAGGCAGAATGTGACACATGGAGGGACTTGTGGGGAAAGACACCCATGGAGGGGCTAGGGGGGATGAGATACATGTAAAGGCTGAGTGGTATGAGAGTCATGGAGAAGCTGGAGGGGAATGAGACACATGGAGGAACAGAGGGGAGAATGAGACACATGGAGGAGCCTGGGGAACGAGACACATACAGGGGCTGTGGGGGGAATGAGACACATGGATGAGCTGGGGGGAATAAGACGCATGGAGGGACTTAGGGAAATGAATGACACATGTAGGGGGTAGAGATGTCGCGAACCGTCCGCGTCCGCCGCTCGCCACGAACTCCGGTCAGCTGACACGTCCCGGCCAATCTCCAGCAGACCCTCCCTCCCAGACCCTCCTACTTCCTGGACAGCATCCATGTCTCATTGAAACATGTTGAAACATGGATACTGTCCAGGAAGTAGGAGGGTCTGGGAGGGAGGGTCTGCTGGAGATTGGCCGGGACGTGTCAGCTGACCGGAGTTTGCCGCGAACAGCTCGTGGCGAACCGTGGTGAGCCGTTCGCGAGAAGTTCGTGGACGGTTCGCAACATCTCTACCCCCTACATGTGTCTCATTCCCTCCCATCCCCAGCCCCTCCATGTGTCTCATTCCCCCCCGAACGCCTCTATGTGTCTCATTCCCGCCAAGCTACTCCCTGTGTCTCATTTCCCCAAGCGCCTCCATGTGTCTCATTCGTCTCCAGCTACTCCATGACTCTCATCTCCCTCAGCCCTTCCATGTATCTCATCCCCCCTAGCTCCTCAATTTTTTTCATTTGAAACATGTTGAAACATGGATGCTGTCCAGGAAGTAGGAGGGTCTGGGAGGGAGGTTCTGCTGGAGATTGGCCGGGACGTGTCAGCTGACCGGAGTTCGCCATGAACAGCTCGTGGCGAACCACGGCGAGCCGTTCGCGAGAAGTTCGCGGACGGTTCGCGACATCTCTAGTAGGGGGTGGGGGAGAAGGCAAAATGAGACACATGGGGCCCATCTACAATCCTTGCATTCAGAGATATATTACAAGGCCGGTATACAATGCCTTGTACATTTACATATTATGTAGCTTTGCAATCTAGAATTAACATGGATTTCACTTGAAATTTCACAATTTGATTATCACAGCAGAACAAATGATTTGAAGGTGTACATATTGTTTATTGTGACACAAAGGTTAATTAAGAAAAAAGCAAAACTCATGAATATATATCATAAAATAATACTCCTGAGACACACTGAGTAGCAACAAGCTCTGCTTTAGTTTGTTGCTACTCAGTGTATTGTGTATTAGTGAGCAGTTAAATCAGCAGTAGTTTCAGCGTGGCACCATAGATCTTCTTTGGGCTCTCTGAAGAAGATTTACCAGTAGTCATGGTACTGGAACTAACACACAAGCAATACACTTTATTTTGGCAGGGTTTCTTATTCAAGTGAGAATTTGCAAGGAGTGGTGGGCTATTAGATAATTAGCCAATAATAGAGTCACTAAAAGGTTTAAGGGTCATAACAGGAAAGAACTACATAAACAAATAATGGTTTCAAAGTCAATAACTGACCAGCAGGGCTATCAACTTCAAACAAAGCAAGGTCCATAACAAAAAAAGCAAATACCGTCCAGGTCTTTAATAATCCTCTGTAAGATGCTGATCAGAGTCCACTTAACGTCCGCATTCCACGTCTGAAGCAATGCCAGGCCACACAGAGGGTGTCCAGGATGCCAGGGAGTCCCCAACTTGGCAACTAGCTGACTAAAAAACTTCCCATACTGCCTTTCTGGTCTTCAGCAGCAGGAAGTGGAGATGTCTGATTTGATAACTAACTCTTCTGAGAAAATGGTGCAGTGTTGCTGACAACAGGTCTATTTTCTCCCTTAAATTAGATCAGTACTGTCTAACTATTCATTGCGGTAAGCATCATATCATTTAGAATTCAAGGGTTTAACTAATGGGATTTAAAAAAAATGTTTTAAATTAGAAATGAGACATGTGCGATTCGTTTTCGTTTCCGAAAGTACATTCGTATGAATTTCATGACATTTGGACATTCGGATGCTTACGAATGTCCGAAGTGCCGAAGTCCCGAAGCACCGAAGTTCGGTAGTTCAGAAGTGCCGAAGCGCTGAAGTGATTCGGATTTCTGAAAAGTGGCAAAACAAGAGAGAGGGAGGGAAAATTACATGAATGATGACAGGGATCTTGACCAATAAGCTAATTCCTTTTGTGCAATGACGTCATATCCTGTACGCATCACATTGTGGCTGCCAGCAGACCCTGATGGACGTGCGAGGGGGGTGTGCTGCAAGAGCACAGTAAGTACTTTGCTCCCACGCCGCCTGGCATGGGATGTTTATCCCATGCAGTTTCAAGCAGTCTGTACTGCGCATAACTGCATCGGACAAATATCATTAGCCAATTATTATATAGGATATATAAAGTAGACATGTGCAATTCGTTTCGTTCCGAATATACGTTGTTATTCTGAAGTGACGAAGTTCTGAAGTGACGTTGTTCGGCAGATCCCAAGTGCTGAACCGTGCCATTGGTCCGAATTGCCGAAGCAGACTAATTTTTTTACTTACCCGAATTTCCGAACCGAATATTTTGTCCTTGCACATCCCTATTAGCAACTAATAAATACTTTTTTTTTTCTTTTTTTTTTATTGAATAGGGAAAGCTTAAAGCCAAATGGCCACCAATTGTATAAATCTGAACTAGACCCTAATACCAAATGAACAGTCTTTGGAATGGTAAGGAGTCTTGCATCAACTGGTTATTAACAAAGCCAGGGATTGCGGAGAATTGGGTTGAGTTTTGAAATTGATCAAATTTACACAGTTCCAGGTGGTTATCTCCCTGTATTTATTTATTTAACCATTCTTGTATAGCGCCCTTATCCAGGGCGATTTACATAGATTAACAAGTTATACGCGTGAACATTTTTTGAAACAGTCATTAAGTTGCAATTTGAGAAGGTTTAATACTTAGTGGTTAAATTATTGTAAAGAACAATTACAGTATATTATGGATCATACAGGATATCAAGGAAACAAAGAACAAATAATAGAGCAATATAAGTTCCTCTGGGCTATGGTATATATTTTTCTTGGCAAAACTAATCGAGGATCAGGATAAAAGATGCACATGTTGGGAGAGAATGTTATTTGATAGGAATTGGATCAGGAGAATTGGGGGGAGTTATTAAGTATCAGAGAATGTTTGGATAAAGCGCTGTGTCTTCAGAAGTTTGGCGTAAGAATGAGAGAGAAATGGCTGACTGCTGAGGTGGCAGCTTGTGCCAGTAGTAGGGGGGTAGGAGTGAGTGGCTTTGAGATGTAGCATTGTCTAAATCAGCCCCTGTCTGGACAGGTCCCCAGCCAGCAAAGCAGAAATGCATCATTAGACACACTCACTCTGTGCTGAGAGCCCACTGACCATGCAGAGTGTTATAGCTCCCAACGTTGGAAGTGTGGAATTGGGACAGGTGGCTGGGCCTTCAGGAGGGGTGTCACCAATGGCGCAACTTGTCCCTGGTGAGGTCCATAATGGTTCACTAAAGGTGCTTCAGATTTCCATGAGTGAGAGAGCACTGCCAACTCAGTGACATTTGTAAGTGCTGGGCTCAAAATTTCCACTTGTAGTTTATTGGGGGCAAACACTATTATTGACTATGCCAAGGGAGGAGGTTCATGGGAATCTGCTTGGTCTGGGTAGGTGAGGTATGGGTATCTACTGGGTATTGATTTGAAGAAGAGAGGGTAGGATGGGAGCACAGGTTACTACTGGTTAACCGAAGAAGAAGCAAGGGAGAGGGTGAAATGAACTACTGCTGGCAATAGGAAATTTAGAAGAGTTGGCTACTTGTGTGTCAGTGAGCTTGTCTCTAGTGAGCATGTTTGTGTCAGTGTGCTTGTCTGTAGTGAGCTTGTGTTTATCAGTGAGCTTGTGTGTGTGTCAGTGAGCTTGTCTGTAGTGAGCTTGTGTATGTCATTGAGGTTGTCTGTAGTAAACGTGTGTGTATCAGTGAGCTTGCTCACTCCCCATGGCGGCTGGCTTTAATGTTTTCTGCGCGGCTTTGTATAGAGCTCACAAATCCCAAATATATATTAGTGTTCAAGTAGAGATTGTAGCCATATTAGCCCAATGAAAAAGGTACGAATGTTATCTGTTTTTTTACATACATATATATATATATATATATACATACAGTATCTCACAATGAAAAAGGTACGAATATTATCTGTTTTTTTACATACATATATACCGTATATATATATATATATATACAGAATCTCACAAAAGTGAATACACCTCTCACATTTTTGTCAATATTTTATTACATCTTTTATTTTATTATATCTTTTCATGTGACAACACTGAAGAAATGACACTCTGCTACAATGTAAAGTAGTAAGTGTACAGCCTGTGTAAATTTGTCCCCTCAAAATAACTCAACACACAGCCATTAATGTCTAACTTATTTTTACAGAGTTTATGTATAGTGGGTCAAAGTTCTAATAGTGTAACTGTTACCATAGAAACCAATGGAAACCTCTTGGTGACTGCCTCTCTTTCAGAACTTTGCTGCAGCATCAATTTCTATATTACACATTAATGTCTTGGCAACAAAAGTGAGTACACCCCTAAGTGGAAATGTCCAAATTCTGCCCAATGAGCCATTTTCCCTCCCTGGTGTCATGTGACTCGTTAGTGTTACAAATTAAAACCAATGTGGCTTAGTAGAGAAGTAAAACAAGAGATTAAAAATAAGAAAAGGGCATTTAAAGCATTTAAATCGGACAAATCAGATACATCTTATAAAAGATATAAGGAAGCCAATAATGCGTGCAAAAAGGCAATTAGATTTGCTAAACTTTAAAATAAAAAAATTATAGCTAAAGAGAGCAAAACCAATCCCAAAGCATTTTTTAAGTACATAAATTCTAAAAAAACAAAAAATGAAAGTGTAGGTACACTACAAACTGAAATGGAGAAATAGTTATTTAAAATCCCTGCTTTTTCCTGGTCTTCATTAACTTACACCCCGTAAGTTAATGAAGACCAGGAAAAAGTAGGGATTTTAAATACCGTATATACTCGAGTATAAGCCGAGTTTTTCGGCACATTTTTTGTGCTGAAAAACCCCAACTCGGCTTATACTCGAGTCACTGTCTGTATTATGGCAATTTACATTGCCATAATACAGACTGGGGGCTGGCAGAGCTGTTACTTACCTCTCCTGCAGCTCCTGTCAGCTCTCTCCTCCTCCGCGCCGGTCCGGTCAGCACCTCGGTCAGCTCCCAGTGTAAGTCTCGCGAGAGCCGCGGGGTCATAGTGCGGCTCTCGCGAGACTTACAGTGTGAGCTGACAGAAGAGCTGCACGGACCGGCGCGGAGGAGGAGAGAGCTGACAGGAGCTGCAGGAGAGGTAACAGCTCTGCCAGCCCCCCTCCTCCCCCCACTGAACTGCCAATGCCACT